TCCCTGCAAAATTTCATTGCAATTGGTTCAGGGGTTTTGGAGAAGAAGATTTTTGAAATTTTAGTCAATTTGACCCCTTTTGGCCCCGCCCCTCAGGCCCCTGGGGGCGTAGGACTAAACCGGCAACTATTTTTGTTGACCATTGTCCATGGAAGGTCCCTGCAAAATTTCATTGAAATTGGTTCAGGGGTTTTGGAGAAGAAGTCGAAAATGTAAATTGTTTACGGACGCACGACGGACGACGAACGACGGAGGATGACGGACAAAAGGCGATCGCAAAAAAAAAAACTGATAACCCTTTGGCCAATGATGCTCCAGATCAAATTTGGTCAAAATCCTCTGAGCTGTTAAGGATAAGCTAGAAGCATTTGAAAGGAAAAATGTGACGGACGACGGACAACAAACGAGGCGCCATGGCATAAGTGCATAAAAAAAAAGTGTACTTTATTAGAAAATCCACAACCTGTTTAAGGCATATAGGGGAAATCCAGGTAATTACGGACGGGCGGGCAATCATACATAATCCATTACAAACGATTAAATCAAACTCTGTTCATGCTAGACGTTTATCAATCTACTGGTATATATGAATGTTTGTCTTCGTTGACGATCAGTACCCGGAATATCCCAAAGTCTAAAAATAGCAATGGCGTGTATAATAATATTCGCCGTCATGCGAGCCCTTTGCGACGGGTCCGGACACTCGATTTGTTGTTGTTATATATAACGGTATTGATACCTCGTGCCTGTTATGACTTTTGCATGCATCTTTTTCTTTCGCCGCGATGTTTACATTTGGCCTTGTTGATGCATGCGTGCAGTAAAATTACATCACTGATCTGGGTCAATTGAGAGTTTTAGACTGTCAGGTGACAATTTAGGATTTCTTTAATATAATTATAATTTTTACCCTTAGGGAGTGTCGTGAATTTCAGCAAAATTTGAATTGGTATATTTCATAAGAAGGTATTTTAAACATGTGTATGTCATTTTAGCAAATATGACATTTGTTCCCCGACCAGCCCCTTTAACAATACTGCAATAATCAATCAATGTCTTATTAAACTCTAAAATTGTGTACTTATTGTTTTGGAATCCTTCAGTAGAGATGGGGTCTACGCTGCAGCAAGGTTACTTAAAATCATTAACAGAGCTATGATGTTATTTTCGTTCATACTAAGCACTTTTTTAAAATTTTATTGAACAAAACTACGTGGGGACTTACATAAAGTGTGGATAAAGGAAATACTACCCGAAGACCGGAACATATAATTGTGCATAACATTTGAATTCAAGACAATGAATTCGTTTGGGTTTGTGGTCACTTTTAATTTCACGGAGATCTAGAATGAACAGTTCGCCATGATGTACAGAAACTGCAATCAAAACACAAGATTGAAACAATTTCTTATATCATGAAGCACGTGGCCATATGTAAGTATGGGGCTAGTTGACCAACTTGGCCTACAGAGATTTTTCTGACTCCTGTTATTAAAATCAGGCTTTTACATTGATTTCTTTTTACAAGCAAATAACTGATATCAGAATTAACACAATATTACACCTATATAGATTGTTAAACCAGAGACGTATATTACACATCTCTGGTTAAACTTACATGCGTACATTATGGACTCCCCGGCAATATCACAAAATCGAAAGTCGTTGCGAAAAGTCTGTGACAGGAGCGGTAAGTTATAATTACAAACTGACCGGTTTGTTGTACATGTATGTATGCGGACAAGATGTAGCAACCCCTGGCGAAACATTGTTTCTATGGTTTTATTGGGCGAGTGCATTAGAGTAGCGTGTCCGTAATTACCCTACACGTGTCCGTTTGACCACCGATTTCTCTATATTCCGTGTTTTGGTTTATATTTTAGTGTTTATTTTACCGGCCAATCAAAAGCATCACTAAAAATAGCAACAAAAAGGGTCCTTCATTCTAACTAAACATGTTCGTAGATGATATCTTTGAAAGATGGCACACAGCAAGTTGATGAACTGTACCAAGGAGCGTGTATTAGAAGTCATCATTTGAAAAGTGTCCGTATTTACCCGGATGTCTCCTACCACAGGAACAAACCAGTTATTTGCTGAAAATAATTCAACACGTATGGCGTATTTTAGTGTCAAGTGCTTCAGATAGCTTAGTAATTAAGATCGAATTTCTAATAAAGTACCTTTTTTTTTCAATGATACTTTACCTAAACGTGTTAAATAAGTTTACCAATGGAAAAATCGAGCTATTTCGTGGATTTTGCTATGGCGTGCAAATACTCCTATGGCGTAAATTCCCCTATGACGCATTTTAGTGTGACCCTTCAGACTATATCAATATAAAACACAGCAATTACATTTTCAATAATATTACCCCCGGACTAAGATAAATCATACAATACCGGATGAATATTCAAAAGTTGACGAGTTTCGTTTTTCCAACAAATCTACACGTACAGCGATTCAGCGATTGTGCTTACTTGCCAACTACCGGTTTGAACAGGAAGTAATATTATCAATCTCAAAACAAAATAGTGCGCTTTAAAACTACAATTATTTCATTGTTTTGCTATTTTTATTTTCAATACGAAATCTTTAAGTGGCAATATATAACCTCTAGATTAATAACAGTGACTCGTGAGAGTTTAATGCTTTGCAATGATATTACAAAATAAATGCGTATAGATATGGGTTTTTTTACTTTCACTTTCGTATTAAAATATAGCGAGCTTTCTAACTAACATTAGCCACTCTAAAGCGCTTTACAGTACATAAATATACAATGAATACAGTAAGTATATACATCAATCAATACAATTTCGAGAAATTCGCAGGAGTTGCCTTACTAGTCCTATGCCACCTTGCTAATATCTTCCTTTTAAATGTGTGTATGCCTGCGTGTGTGCTGAAGATGTAATGTATCTGTATCTTTACGTTGTAGTACCCGGTTCCGTTTTTTTATACAACGGGAGATGCATATTTAGGGCCCCGTATCGGAGATACGGGTGCCCTATAGTAATCACTGTCTGTCTGTCCGTCCACAAATTTTGTTCCTGGCTGATAACTTTGGTATTTATTGACCGATGTACATGAAAATTGGTCAAGATGTTCAGTTCACAAAAATACACATTGTGGTAAAAAGTCAAGGTCAAAGGTCAAGGTCATTAGGTTCAAAGGTCAAGGTCAAATTTTACATATTTTCACTGATGAACATTTTGTTATGACATTATGAAGAAAAGTTATTCAGAATAAAACAAGGAGTCAACTGACCAACGGTCAAGGTCATCGGGTCAGGGGTCAAGGTCAAATTTTACATATTTTCGCTGATGAACATTTTGTTATGACATGATGGAGCAAAGTTGATCAGAATTAAACAAGGAGTCAACTGACTAAAGGTCAAGGTCATTGGGTCAAAGGTCAAGGTTAAATGTTGTATCTTTTCAATGGTGAACATTTCGCTATGACATTATGAAGCAAAGTTGTTTGGAATTAAACAAAGAGACATGCCGAGGTAAAAAGTCGAGGCCAAAGGTCAAGGTCATTAGGTTCAAAGGTCAAGGTCAAATTTTCCATATTTTCACTGAGAACATTTTGTTATGACATTATGAAGCAAAGTTGTTTGGAATTAAACAAAGAGACATGCCGAGGTAAAAAGTCCAGGTCAAAGGTCAAGGTCATTAGGTTCAAAGGTCACGGTCAAATTTTACATATTTTCGCTGATGAACATTTTGTTATGATACCAAGAAGCAAAGTTGGTCGTAATTAAAGAATAAGTCAACTGACCCAAGTTCAGGGTCACTGGGTTAATGGTCAAGGTCATTTGGGACCAATGGTCAAAGACAAAGGGGATCTCTGACTTTGACCCTGGCTCTTGATGGAGGAGGTATATAAGGTGAAATAAAACAAATCAAAGCTAACAAATGAGTATTGCACCGGTATTTACATTTCTGTCAGCCCAGCAAATATGGAGGTGGAAGGAAATAAGACTCACATCATAGGACATGTAAAATGAACTTGCGATTCTTTTTGAAGTCCAAATGTCAAACGTCAAGCTCAGCTATATGGGCAGATTGCTGCTTGATGATTAAGGGGGATATATTGCCACAAGACGGGGCCCTTACTGACCTGTCAGTGTTCTAGTTTATTTTGCGACTGATCATTAAAATAAGATGGCTGTCAGGCATCAACCTTGAATTTTGACATTTTAGCAAGGCACATGTAGCCATCTTTGATTTTGATATTTTGAATTTGTTATTATTACATATCTTAATAAGTCCTTTGACAGATCTTTCTAAAAAAAAAAATCATATGTAGGGTTCCCTTAATCCTACATTGGGAATGTTTAATTTTGAGACTCATGATCAGATCGATATATTTAGAGATCCCAGAGGGCCCACCATCTGAAGTCACACAAAATGTCAACCACACTCTGTGTATTATGAGCATTAAGAAAATGATGCAGGAAATAAGGTCTGGAAACCCAAGTTAGCTTTTTGTCAAAGGCAAACATAGGGGTAACAAACTTTTAGAGTAAAAATAAAAAATGGTCGCCATAGTGGCCATCTTTTAATGCACAACTATGTCCCATAGTAAACATAATCCAATCAAGCTCAAAATGTGGGACAACTAGGTTGGATTGACACACAGACCACAGACAAATGGCAATTTGAAAAGCTCATGTTTGGTTTGGTTTGGTTTGTGTTTTACGTCCTATTAACAGCTATGGTCATTTAAGGACGTGCCAGGTTTTAGTGATGGAGGACAGCCAGAGTTCCGGGAGAAAAACCACCGACCTACGGCCAGAACCTGGCAACTGCCCCATGTAGGCCTCAAATCCGCGACCCAGTAGTGGAGGGCTAGAGGTTACAGAAAGTCAGACGCCTTAACCACTTGGCCAATACGGCAAGAAAAGCTCATGAAGATGCATCTGATGATGTTGGGCTAAAAACAAGATGGCCTTCAGGCAGTTATCCTGGATTTTGACAGTTTAAATTCGTTATCACTAGTACCATTCCTCAAAAAGTTATTGACAGATCTTTCTCAAGAAGTTCTTGATAGATCATTCTCAAACTTCATATGTATGTTCCCTTTGGTCCATAGTTGTGCACATTTCATTTTGAGACAGATCATGAAAACAAGATGGCCACATTGAAGCCATCTTTGATTTTAACAATGAAAGTCTGTTATCTGAATATGAAATTTGAGAAAAAATCTACTAAAACCTCAAGATGTATAGATTTGAATGTTCTCATTAAAAATGATGCAGTGTGGGGATAAAGTAAGGGTCAAATTTAACTTGACATCCTAAATAGTCTCTATCAATTAAGGCATTTATAACTCTGGAGATATAGCTCATTAAGTTTGAAGCTCCAGCAGGCACTTCTCCTGGGCTCATGTCTGGGACAGGGTTGAGGAAAAGTGAAGGGCTCACCAAGAATGTTAGATCTCATTTTGGCAACAGGATAAATTTGATACTAAGGTAACACCAGCATTCCGATAGATTTCGTCCAAACATTGAGATTGGAAGTGCAGTATGTCTCTATAACAATATAAAATATATGAGATTTTGTAATGTTTTGTTTATAAAACAAGGTTTCACTTTGTGAAACAATCACACTGTAGATATCAGCCTTCCAATGCTGATTTTTTTTAACTGTAGTTTTGTGGTGATAAAAAACAACAAACACAACATTTTACAATTTTGAAAGATCTATTTAAGATATTGATGGTTGTTTGTTAGAAAATCTGTACAATGTACATACAAGTATTAACAACAAAAGCTATGACAGATGGTGTAAGACAATCACAACACCTGAATCACAAACAACACTTACAACTTGTCCTCGATACATCTCGTACAGTTAACACACCTGGATGTACCTGTACTTTTCTCTCATAATCACATGAAAAATGGTTTTTAAAACTTCACATCACAGCAGTATATGTAAATGTTTTCAGGCTCATGAGAGCTAAAACTTTAAATAACTAGAAGTTGTATATACAGTTAACTGTAGTGATTAATTCATTCACCCCCGAAGACACATTTGAAATCCTCCAATTCAATGGTTGGAATAGTTCATTATGAAATTTCAGGGGTGACTGGAGTTAATTAGGTTACATTCTACTTAAATGTATGGACATTTTTAGTTGTTGTTTGAAAGTTTAGTAGCTTGGTAAAATAATTGTTATCTACTATATCTTTCAGAAGACCTACACCAGTTTAATGGATTAAGGATGATGAACAGAGTTTGCATGAGTTTATGATTATGAGAGAAGGATATTACACCATTTGTTATGTACAATCCAGTGACTAAGGCTTAAATAACATACACAAATAATTTGATTTTACTTCATGAACACAACATAACAAGTTTGACAACCAACTTTCCTTAAGGATGACTCGTACCAGATTCAGATTGACATTACCATAAAATTTCCCAGACTACTCAAAATGAAAGAAGAAATATCCTTGAATTTTAGTCAGACCACTAAATAAACAGGAAGACAGGCCATCAAATTCCATGGTCAGATCACTCACAATGAGAGGAAAAGCTGTCACTTCCGAATCTACTCAGTATACGAAAAAGGATATGGCCATTTCAGACTGCTCTATCTGAGAAAATAATTCCACTATTATATGTACTTCAGGTGTAAGTTTACGTTTTGAACAAAGACGACAAAAAGGACTATAAACAACTGTGAGAGCCTCTCTGATAGCTGTAATGTGGCACTCACCCATTTTGAGGACATACAAGTAACAACACAAAAACGATTGGTTCGGCCTGATAACACACGCAGAAACTTTACACTAACGCAAAAAGCATGTATGACTAGAAGCTATAGGTAAATAACATGAAAGTGAACTGTATAAATTAAAATGTACAACTCTGATAGTAAATGTCTTGATTAACATGAGATTATTGTGCTCACAACGATAGCAGCCAATCAACACTGAGCTTGTGACTTAATCGACCAATCGGCTTACACTCAATCTGATAAAGTAATAATTACAACCTCTGTAATAAATACATCCATTTTATACATACCGTGTTATCAAAGCAGAATATTACAAATAAAAAAAAGAAAATTTTAAGTAATGAATATGGTCTTTACATTTAAATAAAATATGGGTTAATCAATAAAATTAGTTGTTACGTATATGGTGTATATGATTTTATATTGTTCACTTCAAAACTGGCAGCAGATCGCGTAATTAATCATTTCGTCAAATAATAATGTAAAATACATTTGGCAAATTTGGCTAAAACGATCATACAACACAACTTACTCTATATGTAAGGTTTTACATAAACACATATACAATGTATACAATATATACTAAAATCTCTGTAATAAATATTTGTATGGGTCTTTATTTATGTATTTGAATTAACCCTTTCTCCACTGTGGACCATAATGGACTCATCCAGATCAATACATGGTAGAGTTTACTAAAGTTACATAGGCGGTGAAAGGGTTTAACGTGTTTGCCAAATGCCTAACAGCTTCGATTCATATACCAAGTGAACAACAATTTTGGTACAAAAATATTGGAACACTACATCCCCAATCATTTCATTGTAGACAGTCTATAGTAGATACAACCAGAGCGATCTTTCTACACACAATATACATCTTTAGGAACATTTGTATACAGGTACTAAATTCTGTATAGCATGTCCTATATGTGAATTAACTCATTCACCCCTGAACTTTCATAATGAACTATTCCAACCTTTGAATTGGAAGAGTTCAAATGTGTCTTCAGGGGTGAATGAGTTAAGTGACATTTTATAGAAACTTATCACATCTTACATCCGAATGGTTTCTTCTCTCAACTGTGCATTTGTTTTGAAAATAACTCATAAAATCTACATTTGACAGTTTCTGAAATCAAATTCTTGGGCCAAGCTGTTCAAAGCATGGCTAGCTTAATGAAAACTTTACACAAAAATTTAAACCAGTATTTTTTTTCTCTATAAGATTGAAATTAAAAACTAAATTTGTATGCATAAGGATTCAAAATAATTATCTTTTAACAAAACACCAAAATATTTGCGATTTTTTTACAAATTTCTTAAAAATTGCTTTTGAAAATTTATGCTGACGACTCATTAAACTAACCAGATTCTGAACAATCGGGTCCTGATTATTAGTGTAATAGGTATGAGTTGGTCCAAAATTGTACAAGTACGAGTATTCAATAACAGTTTTATGTTTATAAAGGAATTTTGTAGGAAAAAAAATCCTTCACAAAATATTAAAAAACAATTCGTGCTATTTTATTACATGCACCATAAAAGCTGGTATAAATAGCTTTTTTTGTTACACTGCTCCCACAGAAGATATGTATACAGACAGCTAGTCTATATAACACTAGCTGTATGATTTCCCATAACGTCCAGCAAAGGTTATCTCTACATCTACATGTAAAACAAATTTGAGCAAAAATAAGATAACGTAGAGGTAAAATATGTACACACAACATCTACAAGTTCAAGGTCGTATTGAACTCTAAACCTCTTAATGCAGAGTCATATTGGGCTGAAGATATTCTGAACTTAAAAAGTCATCTTACAATCAAGGTTACCCAGAATGCAATGCTACGCTGAATTCCAGATTAAATTGACCTCATGATCAAAACCAGACCAAACTCAAGACCGTTTCGAAATCAAGGTCAATTAATATTTATGGTCACTTCTCATTTAAAAAATCATTTTGATCCCAAGATCACACTGCAATGAATGTGTGATTTCTAAAACACAGTACAACCAATTATAAAGTCACTGCTTCACTCACTCACCCCTAAAGACACAATTGAACTCTTCCAATTCAAAGGTTGGAATAGTTCATTATGAAATTTCAGGGGTGAATGAGTTAAACAAAATTTCAGTGTCAAATAGACCGGTATCCAATAGAAACAGACTAGTTCATGAGTCTTATTGGTCCAACTTGTCATGACATCCATGTATCAGAAAATCTCCTTGGTTGTTTACATTGAAAACCATTGTTACCGATAGGTATAATTTTGACATTGCATTGAAGCTTGCTTGAATAGATTAGAATACAGGATACTTCTATACTATATGACATGGGTAGTTCAGTGGTTCATGTTCCTGTGCCAATGTATGGCATTCTAGCGTAGTATTGCTCACATACAAATTCTCTTTATTCATAATGGAACTGTTTCTTTTTATTTTGATTCATGATTTGGCAAGATATTTCAATTCTGAAAGATATCGTCTAATAAATTTCAGTTTAAATTACACCTACATATATACAATGACCAAAGTGAAGTCTGACTCATTTCTTTAATTTACAGACATTTTAAAGTATTGAAATAACCATTATTTATGGATTATACTTATCTCTTATCATTATTTACAGAATAAATATTTTCAAAATTGCAACATATTGACCTCCAAAAATTACAAATTGTGCAGGGATAGCTGGTGGAATGTACATAACTTCAGATTTGTTTTTTTCTTGCCTAGAACTTTAAGCCAATATATTTTCAAAGCATTTCACCAAGCAAGCAGATTATACACAGAATTAGATGTAAGCTTGTCATAGAAGACCATATACAACATGCTTGTCAAGTATAATCAACCACGGCACAGAAATATGTCCAGCTATTTTTTTCTATCTAACATTACCATTCAAAAAGAATTCCCATGTAATTTCCACGTAATGTTTTAAACTCCCAGACTTAATCAATTTTTAGGAGTTGTTGAATTTTTTTGTAAAATAGCAATCTGATACAACTTTATTGGTAAAAGTTCATGAACTTAAACTTCACATAATTGTAGCATTGTGTAAACTTTTCTTTAGTTAAAAATTCCCTATTCTTAACACTTTTAGTTTTATATATTCTGTTGATGTCCCTGATAAATCAAATTCACTGGACCATATACATATGTAATCAAATTCACTGGACCATATACATATGTAATCAAATTCACTGGACCATATATATATATTCTCTGAGTATATGTGGAATCTCTCACTAGCTACACCTGTGTAGTACATGAAGTATAAGTGGAAATTATTATTATTATTAATACCTAGTTTCACAGTACACATATTTTCCATGGTTCGTTTACTCATAATAGAATAGCTTTATAATGTATTCAATAAGATCCATCAGTTTAGAAATATGTATCAAAATTTTACTTGCTACACAAAAAACACACATAATGAAATGCACATACATTGTTTGTATATAAAATAAAACTTTGATACAAAATTCTATGAAGTAATTTACCATTAAAATTAAATTATAATGATCTACAACAGTTTTATGTTACGATGAACAACCATTAAGTTTCCATGAACAACCATTAAGTTTCCATGAACAACCATAAGTTTCCATGAACAACCATTAAGTTTCCATTAACTACTGTTATGTTGACAACATTTGATCATCTTTGTATACAACATTTTGTCATGAACAACAAATATGTTTATGTACGTAATTCATTCAGCGTTTTAAATAATAGCAAAATTGCAAAAAGTGATCCAGGTAAAATGCCTTGTAAATGCCATGTAAATTCTTAATGGTACTCTTACATAAATCACTGTTACTAGGCAACATCTACAGCAATAAAAAGAATATCAATTATTAAGTCCTGAGAAAAAAAAGGATGAAAATAATTTCCTCAGACATACAACATATGTAGCTATACATCAACTTTTAACAGTCTTCATGTATGGATTCACTTCTCAATCAAGATGAAAATGTTCAACTATTCACAGGAATTAAAAGTTTAAAATTACCTTGGTACCTTGTAACATTACACATTTACTGTCCCTGTTGTATTATGAAAACATTCTTTGTTTCCCTGAAACTAGTCATGAATGGTTCCCAAAGGCAAACCAGAGTGAATCACGATAAGTTGAGGGGAAACAAAGAACTATATTTCCCTAACACACACGGGCAATAAATACTTAATCATATCGAAACAGAACAATAACACAACAGTGAAGACAATAAGATTCATCAGACTTAGGTGCCATTGACTTTGTCAGCTTTAGTCACTCAGAAGTGAAGTGTGGTGTCTCTTGCTCATTTTATTAAGAGAGGAAAACTGGAGCACTGGAGGGAAACAGATTTTTTTATTTCCCTGTCAAACCCATCAGATAAACTGTTATAAAGATGTGGTATAATGATATATTTTCAGAAGCATTCTTCACATCAATAATTAGAAAATACAGGCCACTTTAAAGCTGGAAGGACATAGTAAATGCTCTTATAATCCGTAGTTAAATTTCTTCATTTATATCTCTTTTTTTGTGTTTCATGGACTTTTTATAAGAGTTTAAAACACTCACAAGCTAAGTATACATTATTATTGGCAAATTATTATCAGGACTTGTGCTCCATAGGAAGGCTTTATAGATAGGACAAGAACTTTCATAACCAGCATTTTTTCTATAACATAATAAAAGTAAGATCATCTTTAAAATAAATTAGCATCAATGACATTTGCCAGGATCCAGGGAGAGATAATATGAACATTGTATTACGTGTACAGGAGGTTTACTGTTTATGATATGACTGACGTTAGTAAGATCTCACAAATACCACGATAGGTGTAGGAATTACAATCAGTTGGTGGGTCATGTTGGTAATTTGTTGTTGTACAAGATTTCTGGTGTAATGGTGATTTCTGGTGAAATGGCATTACATAGAGTGTATATTTACGGGAAATATTATCATTATGCATTTATCTATTCTGTATATTACCTGTGTTAACCTTGCAGCATTTTATAAGCTGATGAACATATAGTATAGATATAAATCATTCACTTTGAGTTACAGTAAACACACACACCCCTCATGACGACATGGGGTGTCATTAAGGTAGGAAGCATAGACATAACTAATATCATTATTAAACTATATTCTTTAACAATATGGAAAAATTCTGGCTACATTATTACACCCCTGTAACAATTGTGGAACCATCAATAGTCTGTATTAATTGATTGGTCTTGTGACATGACACATACATAAAGACTACACCAAGTCTCGGCCCATTCCTACTGGAATGAGGACATTTTGGGGGATGATTCGGCGGGAAGATATCTACTCCTGGGGAACATTTAGTACATGATAGTAGAACATTGGCACATTTTGGTTTGGTATTTCACATAGTGATTATCTGGTCTTAGATTCCGATGGAAACACATGGAAACACAAACACTTTAGTACAATGATAAAATGGTAAGCACATCCACAACTACATAGTGAAATTTTGATCTGTAAACCGTGTTCATCTTTATCTGTTTAAAACAAATCAAATGATACATTTATTACATGAATGTCACATCACATGATAAATCATATCACATGACCCTACTTGCAGGTCACATGATATACAGTATCACATGATCCTATATGCAGGTCACATGAGTCATGTGACACTTCCTACAGGTCACGTAAACTGCAATTACATGACTTTACATAAATAGCACATAATGTGTTCTTTGATCATAATCACCAATTTACACAGGTTACATAATATGGAGGTGAAATATAAAGAAGTTCACCATTACATGGATTATCCACAAACATAAAAAAGGATGTAAAAAATGGCAATGAAATACATGTCTCTTGGCAAATATGGACGATACTTTCATAAAGCGTTAAGTCATAATTAATTTTGTAGCAGAATATATTAAATGGATATTCCATCACAACACAGCTTGGTATCTCTATCTCTTAAATAGCTGCACAACCCATGTTAATTATAGGACCTCGACACACATACACTGCGCTGTGGGGGCTCAAGTATTCCACCCTGTGAGGTCTGTTTCGACTCATTTTATTTCGGCTTGTAACCAGTCCTACAGTGACCTGCATCCTCCTGGGAAGGGAAATGTGGTCTGGAAGGTTTGGGCAGAACTACCACAGTAGCAGTCTTTCCCTGTTAGTTTCTCACGATCTTATGGCACAAATATTACTGGTCACATCAGGACACAGTCAGTTTGGAGAGCTTGTGGTCAATGCTCCTCTGGTCAGTTAGTGTCCTTGAGCTTGAGTTACGGGGTATACACACTGTGGAATGATTCAGGCATACATCCATAAACCTAGGTAGTTGCAAGGTAGTCAGTATACAGGATACATTGACCAAGTAAGCTGCCTTGGTCCCGGTAGGTAGATGAAACCGTTTCATCGACCATGACAACCTGTGCAGATACGCGACAGACACAAGCACGCGGGGAAGGACAGCCAGTGACAATTACGATGACACTACAGCATAACAACAGGGCCGTACTCCACATGTACGCGAACCATAGACATCACTTGGCATGGTGTCACACGTTTGTCTCCGCCTTAATTGATAACGTAGGACTACGTGGCATAGTGCCGTTTCTCTTAGTAGAGTTCCGTAAATGTATGTGATGCGAGAGATTGTTTGATTCCTTTTCACTACAGTCCTGGATATAACTCTCCATGGCTTTGTACAGGAAAAGGTAATCCTCCTGAAACAGAGATCAACAATACAATAAGCATATGTACATAACATGAGTGAACTCCAAGCTAATATATAAACTGTATTGCACTTTACGTTTCATTGGGGCTCTAGTATTGCTTATTGGGACCTAAAAATATACAAAATTCAAACCCTGTGAAATTGTCATTTTGAAAGAGAGTTAGCTAACGTCACGCTACCACAATTGGTACACTACCCAAATTGGTACACGGTCAGAAAATTGTTCGAATAGTACTTTAAAATTAAATTTGAACATTTTCCATTAACAGTATAACAAAATAGACATTTAACAGCATTTCTGCCGAATAGTTTTGCTTTCAGGAACATTTTAAGAGTACACGATGACTTCAAAGTAAACATATCGGAAAACCAGTAAAAACGACGTACGTCGACGAAACTTTGGAGGATTTTCAAGGGGTTAAATATAAGCATGTTTAAATGTTGATTTCTGGTCCTTATATTCGGATAATATAAAAGTGAATATATACAATTATAGTTCAGTGTGGTATCTATAAAAGCAATATATTTTGTTGTAATCGGCACATCAACTTGTAGAAATATAAACAATTTCCATAGCCTGTGATATGGTGTACCAATTTGGGTATTATTTACGGCCGAAAAACGGACGAAATCTCACTCCGAGTTTAGCGATCTATTTTCAAAAATAAATTACTTAGATATAAATCTTTTCCTGAAAATGAACCACCATAGGCAGTATTTGTCAAGAATCAAGAAACATTCCAGATACAAGATCTGAATTTTTAAAGATCACTAAAAAACTGTCAAAATTGTACCAATTGTGGTAGCGTCACGTTAGAAGTATTAACTGTGTTATATAAAATGTATACCCAGCAATTCAACTACATGGTATGATTCAAGAACAAATCTGAAGTTTTACCCTACAAATTGAAGTACAGTATTTGATCTCATTTTTACTACGACCAGAATATGGATGTTTCAATATGTTAGTTTCACTTTTGCTTTGTTCCACTAGATGAAATACCAGTATAACAGAGATATTCATCCAAATACATGGGCTTCCCACTAAGAACTAAAATATCACTGAAGCATGAATAATTTTGATATAATGTATAACATCTTTCCAATTTTACAGATGTTTTTATGTTACAGGTGGCCACTCAGATTTATGGATGTTTCTATGTTACAGGTGGCCACACAGATTTATGGATGTTTCTATGATACAGGTGGCGCACAAGTTGGTGATTCTATGCTTTAGTTGGTCACACAAACTTGCGGATGTTTCTATGTTTTAGGTGGCCACACACATTTATAGATGTTTCTATGATACAGGTAGCCACACAAACTAACAGATGCTTCTATGTTACAGGTGGCCACACAAACTAACAGATGCTTCTATGTTACAGGTGGCCACAAAAGTTGATGATTCTATGCTTTAGTTGGTCACACAAACTTGCGGATGTTTCTATGTTTTAGGTGGCCACACAGATTTATGGATGTTTCTATGTTACAGATGGCCACACAGATTTAAGGATGTTTCTATGATACAGGTGGCCACACAAATATATGGATGTTTCTATGATACAGGTGGCCATACAAATTTATGGATGTTTCTATGTTACCGATGGCCACACAAACTTGCGGATGTTTCTATGATTTAAGCAGCCACACAAACTTGCGAATGTTTCTATGATTTAGGCTGCCACACAAACTGATGATTCTGCTAGAGGTGGCCACACTTACCATTGTTCCTATGGTTATAGGTTAGAGGTTGCCACTCTTACCATTGTTCCTATGGTTCTAGGTTAGCGGTGACCATACTTACCATTGTTCCTATGGTTCTAGGTTAAAGGTAGCCACACTTACCATTGTTCCTATGGGTCTAGGTTAGAGGTGACCATACTTACCATTGTTCCTATGGTTCTAGGTTAGAGGCGACCACACTCACCATTGTTCCTATGGTTCTAGGTTAGAGGTGGCCACGCTTACCATTGTTCCTATGGTTCTAGGTTAGAGGTGGCCACACTTATCATTGTTCCTATGGTTCTAGGTTAGAGGCGACGACACTTACCATTGTTCCTATGGTTCTAAGTTAGAGGTGGCCACACTTACCATTGTTCCCATGGTTCTAGGTTAGAGGTAGCCACACTTACCATTGTTCCTATGATTCTGTTAGAGGCGACCACACTTACTATGGTTCCTATGATTCTGTTAGAGGCGACCACACTTACTATTGTTCCTATGATTCTGTTAGAGGCGACCACACTTACTATTGTTCCTATGATTCTGTTAGAGGCGACCACACTTACTATGGTTCCTATGATTCTGTTAGAGGCGACCACACTTACTATTGTTCCTATGATTCTGTTAGAGGCGACCACACTTACTATGGTTCCTATGATTCTGTTAGAGGCGACCACACTTACTATGGTTCCTATGATTCTGTTAGAGGCGACCACACTTACTATGGTTCCTATGATTCTGTTAGAGGCGACCACACTTACTATGGTTCCTATGATTCTGTTAGAGGCGACCACACTTACTATGGTTCCTATGATTCTGTTAGAGGCGACCACACTTACTATGGTTCCTATGATTCTGTTAGAGGCGACCACACTTACTATGGTTCCTATGATTCTGTTAGAGGCGACCACACTTACTATTGTTCCTATGATTCTGTTAGAGGCGACCACACTTACTATTGTTCCTATGATTCTGTTAGAGGCGACCACACTTACTATTGTTCCTATGATTCTGTTAGAGGTGGCCACACTTGACATTGTTCCTATGGTTCTAGGTTAAAGGTTGCCACACTTACCATTGTTCCTATGATTCTGTTAGAGGCAACCACACTTACCATTGTTACTATGATCCTGTTAGAGGCGACCACACTTACCGTTGTTCCTAGATGGCCACACAGATTTAAGGATGTTTCTATGATACAGGAGGCCACACAAATATATGGATGTTTCTATGTTACAGCTGGCCACACAGATTTATGGATGTTTCTATGATACAGGTGGCCATACAAATTTATGGATGTTTCTATGTTACCGATGGCCACACAAACTTGCAGATGTTTCTATGATTTAAGCAGACACACAAACTTGCGAATGTTTCTATGATTTAGGCTGCCACACAAACTGATGATTCTGCTAGAGGTGGCCACACTTACCATTGTTCCTATGATTCTGTTAGAGGCGACCACACTTACTATGGTTCCTATGATTCTGTTAGAGGCGACCACACTTACCATTGTTCCTATAATCCTGTTAGAGGTTGCCACACTTACCATTGTTCTTATGGTTCTGTTAGAGGAAGCCACACTTACCATTGTTCCTATGATTCTGTTAGAGGCGACCACACTTACTATTGTTCCTATGATTCTGTTAGAGGTGGCCACACTTGACATTGTTCCTATGGTTCTAGGTTAGAGGCAGTCACACTTACCATTGTTCCTATGATTCTGTTAGAGGTGGCCACACTTGACATTGTTCCTATGGTTCTAGGTTAGAGGTTGCCACGCTTCCCATTGTTCCTATGGTTCTAGGTTAGAGGTTGCCACACTTACCATTGTTCCTACGATTCCTGGTCGTTTGAGGTGGAACAGTTTACACAGGTGATACACGTCCACTACTTTGTCATGGGTCTGCTGGTCATGGAGTGACCACAGCGCACAGAACACACAACCTTCCACTCCACCATAGCTGACCGACAAAAGACAGGGAGGATTTGTTATTGTCCACTCATTGTTACATATAACATTCATGTTTGTGTCTCAGAATAACCATACAATCTTAAATCTTTCTTTTAACCTATAAAAGCTGGTATTTTTCTGGAAGTTTAAATAATAAAGCAACAGCTAAACTCTGTGCAAAACTCCAATGTTTTACAACATTACAAAATATAAAACAGTACAAAGCTTGCATTGCTATTTTGTTTGTAATTGAAAACTGCCTTACATGTCAACAATGGTATAATATTATGATTTGACAACTATAACTGGTCAGACCTTTTATAATCAACGACTACCCTAGTCTAATATCCTATCTGTCGACAACTATGACTGGTGTGGTGGCTTACCTATCCACAACTATGACTGGTCCAATATCGTTCTGTTTGTGGAGGTCCTTGACAGTCTGTATCATGTCGAAGGCCTGCCACAGGCGCTGCTCCTTCTGAGGCCAGCCGTCACAGGTCAGGATCCGTGTCATTAACACATAGTCATCCTAAAAACCATAAGAAAATGTAGCATACTTCAACATCTCAAAAATGACCTAATTTTTTCATTACATGTATATTAGTAGCCTTATAGGCCAGTATAATCTCAATACAGTTAAGTATCTCACAAATACTGTTGAATCTTGTCGGTCTGGATTTTCTACCATGTTTATCTACCTTAAACAAGTTATATTTCAAGATCTTAAAAGATGCAAGATTAATGACGAATGATAGATAAATGCAAATCTGCCATCTGGTTTGTGTTTTACAAGATAGAATAGATTTACTGCAAAAAGAATGAATCCTAATTTCCGTGTACCTGCGTTGACTCGAGGAGGAACTCCCTGACTGTGTAGCGGGCCAGCACCTCCTCTTCCTGGAACACGACCTTAAACAGGCCGGTACCTATGGCCATGGGCGTCTCCTTCTCTGGCCAGAATCTCTTGTGCTCCTAAATAACACATATCTAGTTATTGTAGTCTAGTAAACAACAATGTATCACATTCAATGACATTAATTGTTTATCATCTAATAGCGAGAAATGCATATAAGATAAGATTAAGACAGATATTTTTTTTAAATTCACAAGGAAATTAAAGGTCTTCATTACTTTGGCTCCTATTTATCTTTCTATCAAATTTGCATACAACATTAAATATACAAGAGGCCCAAGGGCCTTAGCAGTCACCTGAGTTATATCATAGGTATATCATAGGTACTGGTAGCTTTATTTTATTGTTTAGATGTGATGTGGAAATCAGCATGTAAAGTGAAATACAATACTTGTCATGTCATCAAAGGATAAGAATTTGAAAATATTGGTAAATGTTCCCTTTGGGGCCCGGCCCTAGCCCCTGGGGATGGGGCAGGCATCCCAATTTTACAATGTAATACCCTCATTCACCAAAGATGATTCTAACTAAGTTTGAGTAATTTTCTGCTGAAAATGGATAAAAAATACCCAAAAGTGTTATTTCCCTATAGTAAACTTTACCCCTTCCCCAAGGGAGAACAGATAGCTAGGGGGTCCTGAAATTCACAATTTAAATAAAGCCCCTAATGATCTTCCTTTCCATACAGAGAAAATGACTATCTGAGTCTGGAGAAGAAGATTTTTGAAATATTGGGCAATTTTCCTTTGGGGCTCCCTGGCCCCAGGGGTTGGGGTAGGAATCCCAATTTTACAATGTTGTAGCCTCATCTACCAATGATGATTCTGACCAAGTTTGAAAAACATCCATCCAATGGTTCATGAGAAGAAGTTGAAAGTGTAAAAAGTTTACGCACGACGGACGACGGATGACAGACGACGAATGGAGATTCATGAGCAAAGAAGCAACATCCAATAAGTGTAGAGGAATGTTTACATCCCTCCTGTAGTTTCAGGATACCTAGTGGTGTACAGAAGTGGATACCTAGCGGTGTACAGAAGTGGATACCTAGTGGTGTACAGAAGTGAATACCTAGTGGTGTACAGAAGTGGATACCTAGCGGTGTACAGAAGTGGATACCTAGTGGTGGACAGAAGTGGATACCTAGTGGTGTACAGAAGTGAATACCTAGTGGTGTACAGAAGTGGATACCTATTGGTGTACAGAAGTGGATACCTAGTGGTGTACTGAAGTGGATGACTAGTGGTGTACAGAAGTGGATACCTATTGGTGTACAGATGAGATACCTAGTCTAGTGGTGTACAGAAGAGATACCTTGTAGTGTACAGAAGTGGGTACCTAGTGGTGTACAGAAGTGGATACCTAGCGGTGTACAGAAGTGGATACCTAGTGGTGGACAGAAGTGGATACCTAGTGGTGTACAGAAGTGGATAACTAGTGGTGTACAGAAGTGGATACCTAGTGGCGTACAGAAGAGATACCTAGTGGTGTGCAGAAGTGGATACCTAGTGGTGTACAGAAGTGAATACCTAGTGGTGTACAGAAGTGGATACCTAGCGGTGTACAGAAGTGGATACCTAGTGGTGTACTGAAGTGGATGACTAGTGGTGTACAGAAGTGGATACCTATTGGTGTACAGAAGTGGATACCTATTGGTGTACAGAAGTGGATACCTAGTGGTGTACAGAAGAGATACCTTGTAGTGTACAGAAGTGGATACCTACTGGTGTACAGAATTGGATACCTAGTGGTGTACAGAAGTGGATACCGAGTGGTGTACAGAAGTGGATACCTAGTGGTGTACGGAAGTGGATACCTAGTGGTGTACAGAAGAGATACCTAGTGGTGTGCAGAAGTGGATACCTAGTGGTGTACAGAAGTGGGTACATAGGGGTGTACAGAAGTGGATACCTAGTGGTGTACGGAAGTGGATACCTAGTGGTGTACAGAAGAGATACCTAGTGGTGTGCAGAAGTGGATACCTAGTGGTGTACAGAAGTGGGTACATAGGGGTGTACAGAAGTGGATACCTAGTGGTGTACGGAAGTGGATACCTAGTGGTGTACAGAAGAGAATAACTATTGGTGTACAGAAGTGGATACCTACTGGTGTACAGAAGAGATACCTAGTGGTGTACAGAGGTGGATACCTAGTGGTGTACAGAAGTGGATGCCTAGTGGTGTACAGAAGTGGGTACATAGTGGTGAACAGAAGTGGATACCTAGTGGTGTACAGAAGTGGATATCTAGTGGTGTACAGATGAGATATCTAGTGGTGTACAGAAGTGGGTACCTAGTGGTGTACAGAAGTGAATACCTATTGGTGTACAGAAGTGGATACCTACTGGTGTACAGAAGAGATACCTAGTGGTGTACAGAAGTGGATACCTAGTTGTGTACAGAAGTGGATACCTAGTGGTGTACAGAAGTGGTTACCTAGTGGTGTACAGAAGTGGATACCTAGTGGCGTACAGAAGAGATACCTAGTGGTGTGCAGAAGTGGATACCTAGTGGTGTACAGAAGTGGGTACATAGTGGTGAACAGAAGTGGATACCTAGTGGTGTACAGAAGCGGATACCTAGTGGTGTACAGAAGTGGATACCTAGTGGTGTACAAAAGAGATACTTTAGATGTCTATAGTATTACTACGTCTATTTCTAGTGTTATTTATCATTGAGATTCAAGTTATATTTATTTACTTCCAGATCCTTTTTCATTTTTATATAGACTTATGCATAGAAGGAAAGTGTAAGTTGTATGTTGTTTATACAAAGTGTAAGTTACTATTCCTAGACAGATGTAGCTTACCTTGTCGTCCAGCTGTGAGAGAAGGAAGACGACAGAGGAGTTTTGATCCCACACCATCCTCCAGAAGTCCTCCACTGTATTCTCCAGGGGGTGCTGCGTCAAAATGAACTCATCCGTCTTGTTGTAACCCTGACAATAATGACATAAAAAATACTCTTAGCCTTGTCTTGTATTTAGTGTATAGAAAAATAGACAAAAATGGAGCAAGTACTATATCCTTATTTCAAGAACTGTTATGTACAGTATTAGTTTCAATTTTATTATGTACCAGTAGTTGCATTTTAAACCATAAAATATTTTCTCTTGTAAATAGAACAAGTTTATTTTTTTCAAAATAGTTTATGTCTAATTCACAAATTTTCATTGGACAGAACCTATTATAAATTAACGAATTATGGCTTTCAATTACCTGCAGGTATGTAGCATTAATGTAATCTGACCCGTCCACTCCTGGTTTGGCTGGGAGAGGGACTCGCTTGACCGTCAGTGGCACTAGATCATTGCTCCTATTCTTGTTCTGGTTAATATTTTTATCAGCTGGGAACTTGTCCGAGTCCTTTGGTTTGTAGGTCGTAACAAGCTACACATAAGACAGTATACAATTAAACACTTATGTATGTGGTCTATTAGTGGTTTTATTTACCTAAGAAAAATATTTGCTTAACCTGAAAGGCTGTACTTATTCTAAGTGCAACAACCCCTCTAAACATGGCTTGAGAAAAGAACTATACAAATGTATATTTAAACTTGAATTACCAAATTTATAAATTTTATCTTACCTTCACTACTTTTGGGGATGGTAAAAATTTTGTTTTTAAGAGTCATTAATATGATACTGAATTATAATGTAAATATCGCCTGTTTGTAATTACACGGTAGGACGAGAAGTTACCTACCTTGTACTGCCTATCCAGGGCAGTTTCCTTCTCGCCATCGTGGATCTGAGATATCTTGTCTATATACCCCTTCAAGTCACCGTGTTTGATCTCGGTGTCGTCACTAAGGATGTACTCGGCGATGGCGTCGTGTATCAGCATATACTGCTCCTGTAACACATGTCATTGTTGTAAGTCCACTGATTCACTGTAATTACCTCCCCTTCCTTTTTTCAGCACTTGTTGATTTAAGAAATCTTTTTTTTTTCGGTTTACATCAAGCAATATATTATGTTCACATCCACAAATAGACATTTTCAGTAACGGATTCTGCCATCAAAATAGTCTTAATACTGACTATTTTTGACATCTTTTATTATTGATTATTTTTGACATTTTTCATACCTCCGTTTGTACGAGGAACTTTCGTTGTCGCCGAATATGGAGGAGGAATCCAGCTACATTAATGGTTCCCTTGTCTTTCATCTCCTCTATCATACTGTCTATGAGGATGTAGGTCCCAGTCCTACCCACTCCAGCACTGTAATACAAACATATCATTGTCAGTAATACTGTCTATGAGGATGTAGGTCCCAGTCCTACCCACTCAAAATTCAACCCTCCTGGAGCAGGGCTGACCATTAGCCCTGCTCCAGGAGGGTTCAATTTATCTACAGAGGAATACTATTAACCTTGCTCCTTCTGGGGTCAGGCACTTACCTACCATGGTCTACCATCAGCCCTCCAGGAGGGTTGAATTCATCTACAGAGGAATACTATTAACCTTGCTCCCTCTGGGGTCAGGCACTTACCTATCATGGTCTACCATCAGCCCTCCAGGAGGGTTGAACTTCATCTACAGAGGAATACTATCAACCTTGCTCCTTCTGGGGTCAGGCACTTACCTACCATGGTCTACCATCAGCCCTACCACCACAGGTTTGAAATACCTGCCTTCATTGGACCATCATTAGCCTTACCCTTTTGGGGATACAGTGCAGGTACTTTAATACCTACAATGATCTATTATTTGCCCGGATACAGAGGATTGAAATATTTATCTATAATGGACTAGCACCTGCTCTGACCATGGGATACTTACCTACAATGGACTACTATCAGCCCTGCACCCAGGATTGAAACTTAGCTATAATGGACTAGCACCTGCCCTGACCATGGGATACTTACCTACAGTGGACTACTATCAGTCCTGCTCCCGGAATTTAAATTTATCTATAATGGACTAAAATCTACCCTGACCCAGGGTTGAGATACTTACCTACAGTGAACCACTATGGGCCCTGCTCCCGGGGGGTTGATGTATGCCGACTTCTGTACAAACTTTAGCACTGGAAGTGTGAAGTCTGGCACTCCGTGATCTGGCCACTCAGTATAATGGAAATGATAAACTATCCGTTCTGAGTATTGCTGCAAAAAATAAACAAGCTTACATAAAAACCTTTACAATACACCAATACTGTGACGTATTCCAAGGTATGTACCAAAAGGTTTTAAAATTATCATTATGCATCCTACTGCATTTATTAAATAAATCATATTCATATTTTTTTTTTAAATTGTTTTGATTATACAAATTGTACATAAATTATACTAGAGATCAACATATTTAAATGATAAAGCTTAAGTGTTGCGTACCTTTTTAAGTTTGGTGTTTTTGAGTGAGAACATCCTGACAGTGTAGTGGGCCCTGGAGAATGTATTGAGGTGTTTGACCTGGATGGGACCGTAATGTTCTACACCATCATCAGGCCAGTACTGGTCACACTTCCTCTGTACAAACAGAAACATGACAAATGTAATGAGCAGTTCTATACATTATTATAGGTACAAGCAAACATCCTACAAATAACATTTCTCCCAGAAACAAAATATAAATCACTAACGAATGGCTGACACATATCTATGTTTCTCGTGTCTTTTTTAGTTGAAACCTTTCAGAATTTCAGAGCTAAAGAGAGACAACTCTATCTGTCTTGTACAATGAAACCCTTTTTATCCGACACTAGTGCCAGAGATACCAGAACATCAGTATAAGGGAGCTACAAAGAGTGCATAGTTTATCCTCAAAACTGGTCCACACAAGAAGACCAGCTCATATTTTAAATACTTATAATTTATTGGAATTGACAGAATTATGAAATCTGTATAGAATACATTCAGACCAGATTCTGAAGTTAAGTGTACTTACTTTACCACGCTCCACCAATTTGGTGATCATTACTATGACAACAGAGTTCTGTTCCCACACCATCCTCCAGAAGTCGGCGAAGGTCGTGGGAAGTGGGCCTTGGGTGGCTATGTACGCTTTGGGTTTCTTGTACCCCTGTAACAAAATACACACAATCGAGCTTGTTCTTTAGAAGAAACAATCAACCTAGTTTGTTTGTTTTTTTATTTATTTTATGGAGTTAACAAAATGTCATTTCACATTTGTTTGCTTATTTTTAATTCATTTTGCTTTGAATATATACTATTGCTTTTGCTGTGAATAATGCATGTTTGGTCTTCTTCATAAAAGAGGAATAACAACTGGCAAACCCCTCCGTTAGAATCTCCTATCTTACACGCATACATAAATAGTCTTATGTTCCTTCTCTGGTCTATTTCATTTAACCCCCCGTTAGAATCTCCTATCTTACACGCATACATAAAGCGTCTTATGTTCCTTCTCTGGTCTATTTCATTTTCTTTTTACACAAGTACATGTAACTGTAATGAGACATGTCAAGTGGGGTTGAAAACTTCCTCAATTCTCCATATGTAGACTACCTGAATTGGTGCCAGCCTAAAGATAGTTTCACAAATAATCCCAAGTCAATAAAAAAGCTAAAATACTCACATCTGCATAATTAGCGTTGATATAGTCTGAACTCCTCAACCGGCCATTGATGGGTTTTAGCATCACTCGACTATGGTCGACTACAAACACAAATATCACCACCATTAAAACACGTATCAATATCTGTTAACTACTCAAGTTAGATCCAACAAGTTCATCATAAAAGTCAAACCATCCATCTGGTTTAAGTTTAACCATACAAGTACTTAGTACTCATTTCATTGACTTGAAATATCCATATTAAAGCTAATGATTACCTCCCCTTTTTCTCATTGTATTTAACCTGCTTGATAAGTGATCATTAAATATTTCTTACAAAAATATATCCACAATTATACCTTGCTGCTGCATGTTAACTCAGAAAAATTTCTTAATTTGTTATTTATATTCAGTTTTTATGAGGTCCTGGCCATTTTGTGCTTCTTTTTTCTTTTCTATGATAATGAGCAAAAAGTGACTATTAAAGAAATATTCTTGCAAAATAATTTCCATTCAAGAATTTGAAGATTGTCTCCCTTGAGCTGAATGAAAATACTTTGACTAGAAAAGTCTCTTCAGCATTTTCTGTTATGTTCAAAGAATGGATCATCTATTTTCAAATGTAACATTTTCAAGGTAAAGCTTAGCTGACATGCAAATGTGAAGGAAGGTAACGATAATCTTTACCAAGGCTTGACAGAAATCAACTCAAGGTCAATACGTCTGTCCCTATTTCATAAACAAACAACTCAGGCTCAACAGGAGAAACTGTTTAGAACATTACAGACGATTTGTCACAGAAATAACTCTGGTCTCTAATACACTCACAGGCTATGATGTTGATGTATCTATTCTTAGACTTGTTTTCATGTTGGTTGGAGGCGTCGGCACGTATTGTCCAACCACAGGTCTGCTTGTTAATGTCCTGGAAACACATTATAAATGTTTAATACATTATAAATATCATCTAGGATCTATTTAAATAGAACAGTGAAAGTGTTCTTCCTGGATGAGTAACCCTTTAACCACTGTAGACCATAATGGACTCATCCATATCAATGCATGGTAGGGTCTATTAAAGTTACATAGGGGTGAAAGGGTTAAGATTTAAATGTAAAGATCTAATTTCATCAGAAATCATGCCCTTGCATCAATTTCAGAAATATTGTTTTGAGTATTTTCTCAATGAAATCCATCAGTATGCCTAACTACCCTGGCAAAAGTACATGTACATGACTTCACTATCTTAGAAAGCGAAATTTCCAAAAAAACTTTCCAAAGAATCAAACAATTTTATGAGAACTAAAGTAGATTTAGCTCATAAGTACCAGTAGAAATCTGTTTGTTTAAATTCATGATAAAAACTTACAGCGAATTCCTGAGAGAAGCCGACATCACTATCAGCATGTAGAGACCTGACGTGCTGAAGGAAATCTCCCACGGGTATTGGCTGGTAACTGATCTCGTCTGTAAAGGAGGACACAACAATTATCAGACTATCCTCTTCAGATTGATTTCTGGGCAGATGTGTCCAGTCATCCTTCTTCCATACTAAGGAAGAGTGTAAAATAGTCAGAGGTGGTATTACTTTCTTGTCTGTTATGTCTTATTTTCTTCAAAGCATGTGCAAAATGTGCATAACACTCAAGTACACTTTTTTTTCATTTTTAGTCGACCAACTGCTTTAAGCCAAACCAAATAGCTGCTGGTTTGCCATCGTTTTGTTTTTGTTTTTTGCTTGCACACCATCTTAATACTCTTTTAGCAAATGCGAAATATTACAACAATGGCACAATATAAATGACTCCCACTCTGTCATGTTTGACAAAATGTAACCTCATCTTGCTATCCTTAATACAGACACAACCATACTATGCCTGTCCATTTCATTAGTCTTTGGCCACGCTTTTTTATAGCAACATTTCCTTGCTGTAGTGAACACCATGACAATAAAAATACTGAACAGAAAATGATATTGTGTTGCTAAGTACTAGACATTTTTGTTTTCTGAACGAAAATATGAAGCCATAATCCTACCCAGTGGTTCCGGTATATTGATGACAGTTGTCGGTGGCGAATTGTTATTGGTAGGGACAGCCAGGTAGTCAAAGGCGGCCTGGTAGTACTTCCTGCACGTTAGTGACCTGAAATTTGTACAGGCATTTAGTTTACACACAAGATAGGCAGCATGTCTTGTGAGCATTGTTATACCAGGTCATCAAAGGGCAAATCATACAGAACCTACAATAATCTTACTTTTTATGTTCTAATCTACAGACTATCTCTGGAAGTATATTTAACACTTTATCAGCAGGATGTTAAAGGCACATGAATACACTGTACATATAAACTGATATCTAACTTGAGACCATGATAAATTGGATCATGATGAATTGTGAGAGCAGACAAAATACTGCATTAAAACTAAAGCAGCGGCTGTGTTATTTCCAATGAAGACTAAGAATGACAGAGTTGTCTGCCCCTTAATCTGATGTCGTCTTTGCCCTCCTTCTTACCTACAGCCGATGAATACAAAGACGACCATAAAGATAAAGAGAAGGCCGCACACAATCCCAGCCACGATGCCCGCCGACATGATTTCCTGTTGTGCCTCCTCCATGGCAGCAGGATCTGGATAGAGACATTGAAAATGAAATTTCCATACACAGTACATCCTACTTTATCATTATCTACATTACATTCTAAACACAGATATTAACAGACCTCCACCCATATATGGTACCTCCTAACTATCTAACAGTGCACATGCATTACTGCAAATGGTCATAGTAAGAACATGGACCCTAACCATTTGAAATTATTTTTCTGTCAATATGATTGTTGTGTAAAATATGGGAATCCAACACAAGTCATTCAGCAGAGCACATTGGTTTTATCTTTTTATTTCGTGTAAATTTGAAATATGAACTCTATGCGAAATCGAAAGTTTAAAGCATAACACTATATACAATCTAACAACCTATATATATAATCCCCACATGCTGTATCTGAGATATATTGGTACATCACTAATGATATCCTGTCCTTAAACACCTCCTGTATCAGATACACTGTACAACCCCACTATTCCTGACTATAATTTGGTCGTAATTTTACGTCACCTAGTTGACTTGACCTAGTTGACAACATTGACAAATAATACAGACATTTTATTCAGGGAAACTGGAGTGTCCATGCTATTAGGATACCACATCATTAATTTTTGATGTAAGCTTACATTCTTTTACATAATCTTGTAATATCTGATGCCTAGAAAAGTTCAGCAAAGTAAATTCCTGTGAAATAACTTTTACTGTGTACAATTTCAGTCGTCCTATGTGTGGTCCTTATAGACAACTAGTAAATACATTTTTGCGATATTTCTAACACACACATATAGACAATAAACAACCTTAAATCAAGACATGTTTGTTTGTTTTTTGCTTCAAAAAGATGGCATATCTTCTTAATTAAAGATTAGTTAATTATTAATTAATCCTAATTGCAAGAAGCATCTAATTATTTTAACGACCTATATGTCATAAAGTTAAAACACTGACTGATAATGTATAACATCTATATATATACTACAATGCTAAAATATATTATATTGATACTACAATGTTATAATATATTATGCTGATACTAAGATATTATAATAATGTAAGACTCTATATACATTATTTCTACAATGTGATAATAAAATATTGCTACAGTGCTTTTTTAATGCAAATTTTTCAAACTAAAAAAAATAGCTACCATAAAATGCATGCAAAATATATGTGTGCTTGTTTTTATATAATAACGTACAAAATACATATAAATTGTACACAAATGCCTATAAAAATAAAGCATTGCACATACCAGTAACTTTTTTTCTGAGGATTTTATTTTAGAATACATTACAGTTAATGTACAATACCTATATTTTGAATATTTTATACCTTATTTGAAAATTTAACTAAAAAATACATAATTAACTATAATATGAATCATTCTCTTTACTTCCAACAGTTAATCTATATTAAATATTTCATTGTTACTATGGAAATATGTGGCTTCTACTCGGAAATGAGATTTTATTAGGAGGGATATTAACTGGACAGTGCCCTGGCGAGGTAATCCCTATTTAAATCCTTCAGTATACACCTGTTAGCAGTTTACAGAGCAGGGTAGCTGTCCACACGGAACACTCACAGATGTAAAGCACCACCACGACGTGACAATGTCAATATTTAATTCCTTGACAATTGCCAGTTATTCCACTCAATAACTCATCATTAATTCCCACTTTATTGACCCGTAGGAAAGTCAATGTGGTTTAGGAAGGAAGGCTTTAGCCAGTTCAGGTCATTTTAAGGTCAAAGAAGCACTTTTATATCGAGTTCAGCAGGCTAAAGGTCACGATATGATCTCAACTGGAAATATTGACTCGGGTGGACAATAACAAAGTTCACGCCTTAATAAATTGTACAAGATATAAAATGGCTTAATGACACAAGTGATATGAAATTTTCAGCAAATGGAAAGGTTGCATGGAAAATATCATAATTTACCACTGATAAGAAAGACCATAAAATATTAAATGAGAATTGAAAATTCTGATTTGTATAATACTTGTGAAACATACATTGGTTACTTCATAATAAATTGTGGAAGAGATCAATACTAAATTACAGAAGCCATGCACAGGAAAATTAATCATTTAACTTAAACGACCAAAGATTTGTAATTATTTATTGTGACACTTTATTTGGATGATTACAGACCTCCTTTAGGAATTACAAAAAGACTTTTTCCTACCAGTTGTAACGAACTTACTAATTGAAACAGCATGATTTTTCAATTTGCATGTACCACAACCAATATTTATCTGAATAGCACACCCAATGAAATAGAGTTGTTCATAATCAATACCCTACAGTGCTCATATGATTAATTCAAATTGATATACGACGTTTCAAACAAAACAAGGGAAAATGAAGATGAATCCCATATCAATCCCACTAGTAATGGTGGTGGTGGTGGTGGTGGGAGTTTGGGGGCTGTGGAGGGAGTTTGGGGGCTGTGGAGGGAGTTTGGGGACTGTGGAGGGAGTTTGGGGACTGTGGAGGGAGGGGAGAAATGACAGTGTGGGAGGATAAATTAGGGAAAAGAAATACAAGGAAGAAGATCATTAAAGATGTAAAGATATTAAAGAAATTCTGCACAAAGAGACAGAATATGGTGAAATGATGCGAGATTCAAAACACAACGATTTAATGATACTGTTAATCAAGGTGATGACATTTACACCCTCCTTCATAAAGTTAGATATTAATTGGTATTTAATATCAATTTAATGGTACCAGTAATTATCTCATCTTTATAAAATCTATTTTGCAGTTTAATTCATGTTATATTCTCTATATCTAAGCAAAAATAATTAAAGGTTGCAGGAAAAATTTTAAGAAATAAGAACACTTTGAAATTACCTGTAGTAACGTTGCAAAAATATATAATCATTCTCTATAATCAAGAGGTCTGTGAGTCCCCTTGGCCGAGATGTTTTATGAAAAATGTTAAATTTGATAGGTATGTTTCTTTATGTTTATAGTGATATAAAGCAGAATCCACTGTACAAATCTTTGCTACAGAAAAATGGGCAGCAACTCTAAATCACAAAAATGCTGAATAATTTGGAACTCTTTTCTCTGGAGATACAATACGGTGCTGGGACTCTCTACCTTAATGGTATGTTAAGTAAAAATTGTAATCAAACTTTCTTTTTGAAACGTTTGAAACAGGGAGAGGTTTTTTTGTTTTTTTCATGTTATGTTGATGATTTGAATCGCCAATAAATCACTTGATTTGTCATTTGATAATTTGATGTCACAATACATTATCTTTTTATCATAACATCATAATCGAATGTCCCGTAAAAATGTAGCACAAGCTAATGATAATATGTCAATAAGAGAATCATGTTAATAGTAACACAAGTTTATATATATATATGTATTTTTAGAGTAATTGTAAATATTCACACGGTTAGTTGTTTTATGAAATGAGTTTAAATCCAATGATGCAGAGTTAAATAAAACACACGTTACGAAAGTTAGTTGTTTTATTTGGAAACCACACAGGGACAACATGTACTGCATGAGCAGCCAGGAAAGCTGATATCAAATTACTTCATTCCCTCCCAGTGGGGGCTCCAAAGGGGTTTTTTGGGCTTCAGGAAAAGAAAAAAAACATGAGAATTTTCTTTAACAAGAGGCCCATGGGCCTTAACGGTCACCTGATATATTTATACAGAGAGTTGATTTTGTTTTCATATGTGCTTATTATCAAACTGCTACCTTATACTGATAATGCCAACCCAAATTGAATTACTTTCAATGGAAATTAAACAAATGTTGGTCCAAAATGTGATTTCCCTATATAAACTATAGTAAAGTTTACCCCCTCCCCAGGGGGAAACGTGATACCCCAGGGTCAAGAAATTCACAATTTTGGTAAATCACCTTTAGACCCTTCCATATATAAAGAGTATTTGATTCTACCATATCTGGGTCTTGAGAAGAAGATTTTTGAAATTTCAGTCAATTTAACCCTTTTTGGCCCCACCCATCAGCCCCTGGGGGTCAGTCAGGGCTGATATGTGCGTACTATCAAACTGCTACCTAATACTGATAATGCTAACCCAAATTGAATTACTTCCAATGGAAATTGAACAAGTGTTGGTCCAAAATGTGAGATCCCTATATAAACTATAGTAAAGTTAACCCCCTCCCCTCCCCAGGGGAAACGTGAGACCCCAGGGTCAAGAAATTCACAATTTTGGTAAAACACCTTAAGACCCTTCCATCTATGAAGGGTATTTGATTCTACCATATCTGGGTATTGAGAAGAAGATTTTTGAAATTTCAGTCAATTTGACCCTTTTTGGCCCCGCCCCTCAGGCCCCAGGGGGCTTGGGACTAAACCGGCCACCAATTTTGTTGACCTTTGTCCATGGAAGGTCCCTGCAAAATTTCATTGAAACGACACGACATGACAACGGACAAAAGGCGATCGCAATAGGTCACTTGAGACTTTGTCTCAGGTGATCTAAAAATCATGTTTTTTCACAATTTACCTCAATTTTTCCCCACTTGGAACCCCAACCCCCCCTGGAAATTTGGAAACCCCCCCCGGTAGGTCTTTGGATCCGCCACTGCCTCCTTCTAAAAGACTTGTTCTTTATCTTTGACCTAGATATCATTTTGACCTTCAACTTTTGACCTTTGCACAATTATGACCTTAAACAACAGGTCAAAGAATTTTAGATACATTCTACACTGATTTTAGGAAAAGGCTAATTTTACAGAAATCACTGTTTTATTGAGGACAGACAGTCAATATAAGTCAATTTCAAAGTTAAACAGACATTTTGTTAAGTCATTATAATAACAAGAGTTGAACCATTTAATTTCCAAATTAACTTCAGAAGATTGCCATCCTCAAATTCAATAGGAAATCATTTCAAATTATCAGATAAAACTACAGGTAAGATTTTTTTTTAACAGTAGTAAAATCTAAAAGATTAATGACATTGACAAGGTTGGAGATTGGGTTCAGGATGGATATGTGATCAGAGAGGACTGACATTTATTTCTATAAATGTCACAAGGTGTGGCTACCATGCTCAGGAGGGAATGAAGTCTTGTAACAAGTGGTGTACAATATTAAAACAAAACAAAATGAAAAAGAAAATAAGTTGAACAGAAACAAAAGTGTGACAACAGTAATTGTAAGAGGGCTATCACCTGTATTGATAGTTGTGTTATTGATATAATCTGAAAAGGGAGATAATCACACATTAGTAGGAAAAACCGCAACAAGACAGAATGTGATTGGTTGATTATAATTAATGCCAAATACAACACAGGATGTGATTGGTTGATTACAAACAATGAAAACACAAGACATCAGGTGAATGGTTGATTACAATCAATGGAAACATAAGACATCATGTGATTGGTTGATTACAATCAATGAAAAATACAAGACATCATGTGATTGGCTGAATACAATCAACGGAAACATAAGACAGTGTATGATTGGTTGATTTCAGTCTGATTTTCATGAAGATACAAATGTAATCAAAGCCTGTAATTAATACATGTATATTACCACAAACAGAAACAACATTTCTTATTTTAAACTCTTTTAGAATGAGGTTTCCTTGAATTTTCTTGCAGAATCTGAGAAAATTTGGTCTCAAGAAATATATTCATAATAACACAATATTCAATGAAGTGGGACATCTTCAATTCTTAAAATAACAAGTCAACGTTGAGATAAGGGATACACCCCTTTACATATTACAAAGAGTAGTACATATTGGTTCATATATCTTAAACAACACTAATATTCCTGATTATTGGTGAAATTTCTTCAAATTTCTTTGTCGAATCATCGTATTTGAATAATATATGAATGTTAGTGAAAATTAATGGTAGACAATACAATGTTAGATACAACGCTATCATACTGTATGGATATAAGGTCACTCAACATAAATACATGCGTCATGTAGCAACACATACATAACAATTCCCTGAAATAAAATTGAAGAGAGACACACTGTATTTTAGGGAAGAAGTTTTTAACCCTTTCACCCCTTTGCAACTTTAGTAGACTCTACCATGCATTGATATGGCTGAGTCCATTATGGTCCATAGTGGTGAAAGGGTCAACATGCAACCTACGAATCATAACCTCCAAAACTAGGAACTTCAGCACTCATTGATATCTGTGTATGTGGTGAAATTGGTCAACTTTTTCATCCACTTCGCCATGTACTAGTATCACTGCTGTGGACCATAACACAATTTCCAAAAGTTGATCACACCATTTCATATTTAAGTGACTGCCTCTATTGTTTAACTCCAATCCAGTACAATCAGACTATAAATACCAATATCTTCCCACAAGATTGTTCATCAAAGACGAGATCACAGACTAAATACCTCAAAAGTTTCAAACTCAGTTCCGAATACCTTCCGAAAATATCTATGTTAGGAAAATGATTAAAACATTTCAGCTTTTTCTTGAGATAAATTGTACTTGAAACTTTGGTACTATGAGGTAAAAAATAAATGTAACGCAGAACCACACTGACTAAAAGCAGTAAAGTAACTATTACACAACATGGAACGTTGGCCATGTTTTGTAGTTGAAGGTGTCACAGCTACAGTGGAACCTGGTATCAGTACAGCAGAGACAGAAAAAGTTTGTAGGCATAGAACTGCAATATAGAGTATCCACAAATGTTTCATCAATTTATAGTGTTACTTTGTAGAGTGGATATATCTTAATTCTTGTTTTATCTATAACATAGTCATTGTTTTATCTATCTCTGCATTGGGAGACTATCAGTGTCCAGATCAAAACAGAATTTCCTTCTTGAAGATAAGCTTTACCACAGTACCCTGAACAAATCATTGTGGTAGGGCAGGTGACCCAATACCTTTCCACGTCCTATAGGGGGAATCCAACCCGGGCTGTCAGGGTGAAAGGTGAGTGTGGTATCCACTGCCCCACCCATCCACCTAGCGGGCTGTCAGGGTGAAAGGTGAGTGCGGCATCCACTGCCCCACCCGTCCACCTAGCGGGCTGTCAGGGTGAAAGGTGAGTGCGATATCCAATGCCCCACCCATCCACCTAGCATGTTGGGCTGACATACAGTTTAGCACAACCAGAAATACCACCTAGCACGTTGGGCTGACAGACAGTTTAGCACAACCAGAAATACCACCTAGCATGTTGGGCTGATATACAGTTTAGCACAACCAGAAATACAACAATCAAATACAAACAGCTAATATAACAAAGTACACAATGAAACACTAAAAGCTCAACACACGACAGCTACATTTGGTCATCTAAATGACACACTTGTACACACAACAGCTAAATATAAGACACAGGATGTTAACTGTAATAACATATTGACACAATTAACAGGTAGTTGTATTAATTATCTATTTGATACTATTCAATTATCAAACAAGACATTGCTTTGTTAACAAAAACATATGTCTCCCCTTGTTATCCGATATATCTATTTCCTTTGCACTTATTTGACCTTTGACCTGGAGATAAAGGTCAAGGTGACCTAATACTGTGCACTGTACCCCTTCTGTAGGTAATGCTTTATGTAAGTGATGCAGGTATCTTTCAAGTTTCATCAGATATCTTAAAAATGTTTAATATTATTAGCCTGGACATGACTACACTGAAAAGTATGCTCTTATTTGACCTTTGACCAAGAGGTGAAAGGTTAGGGTGACCTAATTTCTGTGCACTGCATACTTTCTATTGGTGATGTAGATGTACTTAGGTTTCATCCAGATATCTCTTAAAAGTTTAGTCAAGATATCTCCAACAGTTTAAACATTAACAATTTCACTAAATATCTTGCACTTATTTGACCTTTGACCTATAGGTGAAGGTTGTAACAGCCGAAATGCAGTTCACTGCACAACACCTGTGGGTGATGATGTTATTCTTCAATTTTTTGTTTTTAATATACTTTAACATCCAAAAGTCTAATACTTGAATGTTAACTCTCTTTTTTTTGATATTCTGACTGTTACTGTTAATGAACACCAGACAATACAACTGTTATCTATTGTTATGTACAGAAATCTACTTTACTTGTGACATTGTCATCCAACTGATCTACAACACAGAAAAAGGCACACAGGTGGAGGACGGCTCTGTTAAATACGGTACAAGTTAGAAACAACAGGGTGTCTTTTCTCATATGAAGACTATCTCAGAACATTGTTATATGCAAGAACAACTACTTAAAAAAAAACCCAGAAAATCAGTAGCAAACTTAAGGTAAAAGATACCACTGTATCAGTAATCACAGAGAAGAGTTCCACTGGAATTTTTTTTTTCTTTACATGGAGTGAGCTCCCTTACATATAGAAGATAAAGTAACTAAAATGAGTTTTATGGCTGATCCTCTGTCCAGTTAGGCACTGGTACAGATATCTTACATGAGGTTGTAACTGCACGACTTCTCTGACACCATACACTACAATGGTCAGATTTGTGTATTACCTTTGTGCCTTCTTTACATGTTAAACAACATACAGTCAACTGTCACTAGCAGCAATGTACTACAAACATGTCTAAACCAGGGTAAAATCTTGGAATCTGATGTCAGGACACATAAGTTCCTCGGAGTGAATAAATTACCTATGGAAACTTTTTGAGATTCAAGGAGCCAAAAACATGTATATCAGCAATTTACATGTAATGTTTGATTACAAATATTGTAAATTTATATTTTGAACATTTTCTTACAATATTTTGTATTGTTTATGATTTCAGTTCAGATATCAAGGTCCTAGAATCTCGAAATTTTACATCAAATTAATACTGCATAGGAATAAAGGGCCTCAGTTTGAACACACTGGGATCTCTTTACTAAGGTTTCCAATCCGACCCTTTAAACAATGGTATTCTAATAATAAAGTCTTTGTACCACAGTTAAGTAAACATTGATTTGCGACTTCTGAAAAATGTCAAAGAAAAACTGATGAACAAATGAAGCATGGACAGATTATGATTAGAAAAGCTCACTTGGGCCTGTATAATCCATATAAAACCAGATACTTATTTTAAATATACCAGACTTAATGCTGATTTGGACAGGTTACATCTTTTGTGTCTGATAAAGGTTACAGGGTACATTACATGCTAGTCACTGAAACATCACACATAAACATTTCACTGGCTGTGCTGATGTATATGAACCAGTATACAAGGTCACATTGTTAACTCATTCACCCCTGAAATTTCATGATGAACTATTCCAAGTTTTGAACTGGAAGAGTTCAAATGTGTCTTCAGGGGTGAATGAGTTAATGAACACATGCATGATTCATTAACTGTAGCTGTTTGATACATTATATTACTACAATGTAGAGATTTGTACATCTAAGTTATAAATTTTCAACTACATAATTTTCATAAATCTACGTACAACAAGCATGCACAGTCACGTCAACAAACAAATCATGCAAGACGTAGAAATATCAAAAGTAAAACATTTAGTATGTTGTTCCTACAGATCAGGACCATGCAGTAGCAAAGACGATAGTTTTCATGAACAAAATAACATTGCTAGATAACACTTTTCTCATTTTCTCCATTGAGATGCTGTGCTCATATGCAAGATAAGAAAATTAATTTTTCTTCTTGCATAAAGTTATAATCAGAAATGAAATTTTCTTTTGTAATTTTTTTCTGAATTAAAATGTTTCGTTAGCTCTGTATGATAAAAAGAACAGATAAGGATTTATAGTGATTTGAAAAATACTGATCACCAAAGACCAACAGAAATATTCTCCTCTACAAGTAAAGATAGATGAGTAATGATTGCTGTCTATCAATGATGATGATGATGATGATGATGATGATGATGAGGAGGAAAGACGATTAAATCTATAACAAACTAGAATCCACGGTCACCATTCACAATGCTGGAAATGAGATAATAATTTGTAGGTGGAACAAGATTACAAGTGACAGGGAGAGAGTACAATAGGATAGTCACCTTCGACTGTTTCATTTTGAATATCTCCTGTAAAAAACAGAGTTGTTTGAGGTTTAATCCAGAGTAATAATTGGGTTAGATTTATTGGTTTTATACAGTATATAGTTTGTTACTGTGCTGAAGAAACTGTGTAAGGGAAGGACTCTCCATGATGGGTCAAAACATAAACCTACATAAATAAAACAGAAAAGAATAGTATTCAAAGATTGCAAATATTTTATAATACAAACTCACATTAACTCCATTATCATAGTGTGATGGGGGAGAAATGGTATCGTTTGTAAATTATTCATAAAAGATTGCTTCCAGAAACATGTTCTTTTACAAAATACATTAAATTGATCCAACGATACGGAAAAATTATTGAAATTCAATTAAGAAGTAAATTACCATCTGCATATAATTCAATCAGGAAAAGGCATTATTAAATTGTGATAGCTTGCGCCTGATCCTTTTGCTGTAACATGCAATAAAATTGGTTTAAACTAAAAACTCATCAGCATAAATTTAAGTTTGAGGAGAAAAAATTTGTTCATGGAGGTTCCCCATAAGAGTAGCCCACTTTTATTAAAGGGACACAACCAGATTACTTCCCTTTGCAGTGTAATGTCATTGTGGAAAAAAGCATACACAAAATTACACCTCACAGTCATCCAATAATATGATATAGACAACATTTCAACTTAATGAAATTTAACAGGATTGATGTACCAACTGATATAAACTCTTACAGTTAGTAAATCTGTAATGCCTGTAAATGTTACCTTTCTTTTATGTACTGAAGTTAAATAAATAAAGGGAAGAAATCTGGTACTTATCTATAAATCCTTTAGAATAAAAAAAAATTTGAATGTAGTCAGTTTTTATTAAAAAATTCTAATTTTTAATTTTGTTGAATGTGTACAAGGTATTTTTTGTTACCTTGTAAGTATATAGAAAAAGAAAAGCAGATTTTCAATAGAAATATCATTCCTGTAAATTTAATAATCTCAGGAATTCCTTGGTGTTTAATAAATCCATACTTAAGCAACTAGCTAATTGCATTTTAAAAGGCAACACATGGAACATATTCATTGTATCTCAGATGATAATAAAATTCCAGATGTCATCACACCATAGCCTCTTGTCCTGGATTCTCAGCGTGATTTTGAAAACTAAACAAAACATGTTTTGCACATATCTTTACAAAACACATTTCCAATTTTCATCAATGTTTGGTTAAGAATTAAGACACAACATAAAACATTTCACTGATAGGGAACACAAAACTCTCATGTAGAGCTATTCTAATTCTATTCTACCCGATTTAACTCAGTTATTATTATTTTTCAATTCAAACATATTTTATAATAAAAAAAAATTAAAAAAAAATATAATTAACTTATTAGGCAATTAAAAATATCTCAGCGGGTGATTGATAATGAAAAATCATCCTGATAATAAAAAATGTGCCATGCAAAGCAGGTTTAACTAAGTATGTAATACTGAATATATGTTTGTTAAGGGAGCTGATTATGAAACAAAGAGGTTACGTAGAATTTGCTGAGGTAATACAATAGATATTGTAGTTTTGTGCGTGTGTTGTCAGTAACATTTTACTGTGTTCGTAAAGACATGCATACCTATAAGTTCAAAGGTCACCCAGTCAGTGAACTGTCCACTGTATTTCTGCTGCTTGACGATACTCTTGGTAACGGCAGCCACTCGCACCTTGTATGCACGGTTACTCGGCAAGTTGGTGATGTTCAACTGTAAAATGGCAACACAATTTTTAAATAATTTGGTTGGAGCTTCTCACCAACTTCGATTTCATCATCTGTACAAACAAATAAACACAAATAACAGTTTGCTTATTTCTTATACCAATCTTGAACAAGGCATCACAAATGATACAAATCCCCTCACATTCACACATTGTGACATGTAAAAGGAAATGAAGTAGCTAGAGCGATGACAATTTTTTTCTAAAAATAGTAACAGTGACCTTGACCTTCAATGTAGAAACCTGAAACGTGAACTTGTTCAAGGTATTGTCATACCAAACACTTGCATGAAGTTTCATGAAATTCCGTTCTATAATGAAGTCGCTAGAGCGATGACAAAGTTTTTCTAAAAATAGTAACAGTGACCTTGACTTTCAACGTAGAAACCTGAAACGCGAACTTGTTCAAGGTATTGTCCTACTAATCCGTTGAGGAATGAAGTTGTTAGAGCAATGACAAAGATGTAACATACGCAGTACGGGCAGAATCCTATATCCCCTTGAACTTTTGTTGCGAGGGGATAATAAGGTAGAAATATGATTCAAATACAGTAAAACTTTGATGTACTGCCACCATTGCTTCAGAAAAATTTTGGCATTATAAAGGTGTTTGGCAATAAATTGAGGGAAAATGGTAAAGGAAGTCTTGAAGGCCCTGAAATATGTTGACGGTAAGCGAGGTGGCACATGGAACAAGGGGCATTATATCAAGGTTTTACTGCATGATACTTTTTTAATTTCACTTTGGCATTTTGCCAAAGCCTTGGGGAACAAATCCGAGAGTGTTACAAGACATGTTGCATTATCATGATACACATACCTATAAAGTTTCAAAAAAATGATGTACTGATCAAAAGCTGAAGTCTTAACAAGCATTTGACCCCTTACAATAACATGGACTATAGGAGTATAGACCTGGAACTGTTATAAGCTAAGATATCTGGTATTGAGATACAAGAAAAAGGTATGGACTGAGCGAGGTATCAAAAATAAACAAAGGGCCATAGCTAACTAAAGTCTTGGGACAAAAGCACCAAATAAGCATTTTTGTGTATAGGTATATTGACTTCATATAGAATTTTAACACAAACAAAGCAAAATTCCAGGGTGTAATTTTAAATTCCTAAATTTGAAAAAATTATTGCATCAAAGAATCAATATAAACTTTGTTACCATTCCATCTAGGCTAAAGTAAAGCCTTGCTAATATGAACTCCAACAATCTATACATTAAATGTCATTCTGGAAATTAATATACACTTTGACAATTAAGTCTATGTATTTTAGGTAGTGGGAATTCAATATTCTACCTGAGACTGTAGAATTTTGGTCAGAACTGAAGCTTTTTGATTTGACTTTTGATTGTGACATCACAACATAACGGCATCTTCCGATTGTGACTTCATAATAGTCAAGGTCATTGAGTGCACCCATGTTGGATACATGTGTCCTCCATGAATGTTATTCTGTATGGGACATGTGTAACACAGGTAGAGGAGAGAGAAAGTGTTTTTCCTTTTACCATTTTTCTAACAAGGAAGACTTTTTTTTATATCTAACACATAGAGGAGGGAGAAAGTGATTTGCTTTTTAACATTTTTCTAACAAGGAAGATTGCTATTGATATCTAAAGAAAAACAGCAGTGTCTAGAATGACGAGATTCAACTCCGTCTGTGCTCACCTTCTGAATGGGTGCCTCTACCATGAGAGGTTTGTGGAAAAAGGAGCTTGTGTCCTTGTACTCGATGGCGTAGTAGTTGATGATGCGGTAGAACTTATTGGGCTGTTCCCACTGTATGAACACACTGTTGGGGCCAGTCACTGAGGCATTCAGTCCGGATGGTTGGCCGGGACCTAAACCAGTTCATACATTGAAAAATAAGTCTTAAAATGTCATGTTAATGAGATTTGCTGAAAAGAATTAAATTTAAAGACTAAATTAGTTGACACCTTTATCATTATGATTTTCAAAAGCTTTGCACCTACTTATGATTTAAGTCGTACTGTATAAGAGCTGGTATCAGATTGTGTTTCCTGATCATAAAGTGATATGTATCAGCATTTTGATACTCTAAACCATAGACTGACCCTACTTGACAGCAATCACTCAGTGTGGTGTGTGGTAGGGTTACCTGTGACATCAGTAAGAGCTGGGTAAGAGTCGCTGAACTCCCCGTTACCTCCGCCTGTGAAGGCCCGGACTCGTACCCGATACTGGGAGTACGGCTCTGTAAATACAAAAATAAATTACATGTATGACACAACCAACTATTAAGGAATCAATGAAATGTTAGTTCTTCAATAATCCTAAATTACATCCAAATCCTTAACCCTTCACCCCTAAACACACATTTGAACCTTACCAAATCAAAGAAAGAGCAAGTCCCCCAGGTTGTGACTGACCAATCAGAACCTACCAAGATTAGATATCAATTCCTCGTGTTGAGTACTGCTGCGGTCCCCCAGGTTGTAGCCAACCAATCATAACTCACCGAGATCAGATAGATACGCCTCGTGTTGAGTACTGCCCCAGTCCCCAAGGTTGTAGCCAACCAATCATAACTTCCAAGGTTAGATATATAAGTCTCGTGTTGAGTACTGCTGCAGTCCCCAAGGGTGTAGCCAACCAATCATAACTTCCAAGGTTAGATATATAAGTCTCGTGTTGAGTACTGCTGCGTTCCCCCAGGTTGTAGCCAACCAATCATAACTTACCAAGGTTAGATATATAAGTCTCGTGTTGAGTACTGCTGCGGTCCCCCCAGGTTGTAGCTGACCAATCATAACTTACCAAGGATAGATATATAAGTCTCGTGTTGAGTACTGCCGCGGTCCCCCCAGGTTGTAGCCAGCCAATCATAACTTACCAATATTAGATATAGACGCCTCATGTTGAGTACTGCTGCGGCCCCCCAGGTTGGAGCCAACCAATCATAACTTACCAAGGTAAGATATAAATGCCTCATGTTGAGTACTGCTGCCGTCCCCCCAAGTTGTAGCCAACCAATCATAACTTACCAATATTAGATATAGACGCCTCATGTTGAGTACTGCTACGGACCCCCCAGGTTGAAGCCAACCAATCATAACTCACCGAGATCAGATATATAAGCCTCGTGTTGAGTACTGCACCAGTCCCCAAGGTTGTAGCTGCCCAATCATAACTTACCAAGGTAAGATATAAATGCCTCATGTTGAGTCCTGCTGCGGTCCCCCAGGTTGTATCTGACCAATCATAACTTACCAAGGTAAGATATATAAGCCTCGTGTTGAGTACTGCACCAGTCCCCAAGGTTGTAGCTGCCCAATCATAACTTACCAAGGTAAGATATATAAGCCTCGTGTTGAGTACTGCACCAGTCCCCAAGGTTGTAGCTGCCCAATCATAACTTACCAAGGTTAGATCTATACGCCTTGTGTTGAGTACTGCTGCGGTCCCCCAGGGTGTAGCCAACCAATCATAACTCCCCGAGATCAGATATATACGCCTCAGGTTGAGTACTGCTGCGGTCCCCCTGGTTGTAGCTGACCAATCATAACTTCCCAAGGTAAGATATAAATGCCTCATGTTGAGTACTGCTGCGGTCCCCCAGGGTGTAGCCAACCAATCATAACTCACCAAGATCAGATATATACGCCTCGTGTTGAGTACTGCTGCTGTCCCCTAGGTTGTAGCTGACCAATCATAACGTACCAAGGTTAGATATATAAGTCTCGTGTTGAGGACTGCTGCGGTCCCCCCAGGTTGTAGCCAACCAATCATAACTCACCAAGGTTAGATATATACGCCTTATGTTGAGTACTGCTGCGGTCACCCAGGCTGTAGCCAACCAATTATAACTCACCAAGGTTAGATACATACGCCTCATGTTGAGTACTGCTGCGGTCACCCAGGTTGTAGCCAACCAATCATAACTTACCAAGGTTAGATATATACGCCTCATGTTGAGTACTGCTGTGGTCCCCCCAGGTTGTAGCCAACCAATTATAACTCACCAAGGTTAGATATATACGCCTCATGTTGAGTACTGCTGCGGCCCCCCAGGTTGTAGCCAACCAATCATAACTTACCGAGATTAGATATATACGCCTCGTGTTGAGTACTGCTGTGGTCCCCCAGGTTGTAGCCAACCAATCATAACTCACCGAGATCAGATATATACGCCTCATGTTGAGTACTGCTGCGGTCCCCCCAGGTTGTAGCCAAGCAATCATAACCTACCGAGATTAGATATATACGCCTCATGTTGAGTACTGCTGCGGTCCCCCAGGTTGTGGATAATCATAGACTTGACAGTGTTGTTATGACTCCACTCTAACTCGTAGCCCAGCAAGTTTCCACGCATCTCTTTAGGGGCCTCCCAGCTCAGGTTGAATGAGGTAGACATCACATTGAGTGTGTGAATGATTCTAGGTTTAGATGGCCCTGAAAAATGTACATCACTCCAAATTGTACATTCAAGTGTTCATAATAATATTCACAAACAAAAACTTACCAAGAACAAAATTATTTTGATAAAATACTGACGACATATAGTACTTTCCAAGTATCACCTTACGCTGCAACATCAAATACATTTCTTCTGAAGAAGAAGATTTCCCTTACCTCGGATAGGTGTAGCCACACTTTTACCGGTGCAAGATTTCCTTGTCTCACCCTAGGGTTGAGACGGGGGGATTCCCCTATTCATAACAATGGCATGACGTCACGTCAACAATCCATCAACGTCATGTCGACCCTGAATTTAGCATGTAACGTTATCATTACATTGTGTATATGATACACAATGGGAGAACAGGGTAAGAGAAAAAGAATCATTCACCCACTTGTGGGTTGAGATTCCCCTAAGTTGCCAAACACTCGGCAAAGCCTCGTGTTTGGCAACTTTATAATCTTCCCCCTCGGGTTGAGATTCTCCTATCTCGCCCCCAAGGGGGTGAAAGATTCTATCAATCTATAAACCCTTAGGTAGTACTTACGCCCCTCGGATGTGCGGACCATTGTCTCAGCAAATGGTCCAGTCCCAAAGCTGTTCTGAGCCTTTATGGTGATGTAATAGTTTGTGAATGGTAGCAGATTGATGATCGTCAGGTTCTGTAGATAAGCAAATAGGATTAAATACATTTATTTATACATTGATTCTAAATTGTACTAATTAGAATCTGGCATTCTGACAAATACCAACTAAAAGGCTATACTCAAAGATGCTGATATAACTGAATTCTGAATAAAGAAACTCCAGACCTAAAATACAGCTGCATGATTTTTATGTTTTTCTAAAACACGATTTGGTTGCAATCAGAATGATAAAAGAAAGTACAACATATCAAGAAATACAATCACAAAAAGCTCACAACTTTTCAGCTTTATATTTACCAGCTGTGTACTAAATTGTTATCGTTACATGTATAGACTTAAGGTGAAATTTTGAAAGAATGTTATAAAGGGGAAGTTATCATGATTGAAGGCTGAATGTTCATCACGAATGGTACATATCACAAAATCATCAACAGTATCGCGTATCACTGTGATATATGAGGTAACTAGGGTCACGTAAGAGGCTGAGGCTTTTTTCTTTTCTTGATCATTTGACACCACAGTTGAAAACCTCAGAGAAAAGAAAATGACGGCCAAAACAGGAAGGATATTATCATCTTCCTCTAAAATGGGAGGAACTTCCAAATATGGTAAAAGTGACCACTGCAGCATTAAAAGAGCAGTAAAGTGACCTCGACACCACAGTGGTATTGAACGGGGTAGAATGACCACTATGGAATCGAAACGTAGAAGTGTCCACTATGGTTACTTACCGTTTTATCCTTATTCTCCTCCGTGACGGTCTGAAGGATGTTTGAGCCTTCTACATTGTACTGTATGACGTAGCCCGTGAGTTCTCCATTGATCTCGGAGGCGAGAGGTGGCTGCCACTTGAAGAAAATCTGTGAGCTGTTGTGACTGACTGCTTCCAGGATCTTCGGGGCAGCACTAGGGGCTGTAATATTGATACATGGTTATAAGTACAGTCGAGAACCATGGTCAAATCTCGGGCATCACTAGGGGCTGTAATATATCTATACATGATATAAGTACAGTCGAGAACCATGGTCAAATCTCAAGTGTCTCAAAACATCTACTGTGGAAATGTTTGCATTCTGACTCTTTAAACTGATCGTGATGTGGAAATGTTTGTATTGGCAACGGTTCTAAAATCTATATATTCGATATATAATCTATAAATAAATATTCACATATAGATGTTTTTCGTGAAAATTTCCACTTTTACAGTAATTTTTTATTCCTTTTATAGGAAAAGTTAGCCCAAGGTATTCATCATTAGACTTTTGATAAAGATATCAAAGGTAAACTAGATAAAATGTTATATTGACAAGGTAACGGAAGGATAACGTTCATTGGTTTCCAAATTACTTCTCCTTATCAATATCTTTTCATGTCATTGAACTGCTGGAAACTCAGTCACAACAAAACATCATGACACAGCTCCCAACCAATTACATTCACCTGTGACCTGTGACCTTGACTTACCTTCAGACTTGGTCCAGAAGATCTCACTCTCCTGGCTGGGCTTGCTGCGACCGACATAGTTGACAGCGGTTACGCGAGCGCGGTACATGGTATAGGGGAGGAGGTTAATGAAGGTACATGTGGGGGGATCCTCAATAGATATGGCCGTCGACATCTCCTGGGCACTGGCCCAGTCCATAGTGGCCACTCTGATCAAACAGAAGATTGGGATGGTATCATTTTTAATAAGATTGACCAACAGAATATAAATAAAAATATCCCCTCCATAATAGCCATGCTGAGAGACAACCTACATTGTTATGATATATGGCATAATGATCAGTCTAACCATTAACATTTATTAACATTGTAATCATCTTTTGTCGCTCTTGACCAACACAGAATATTGTGATTTTCTTTTGTCATTGACCCAACCAACAGAGAACATACATTGAATAAACTTGTTTTTTATCTGACTTACTTCATTTGGATAACATAAGAGAATATGGGACTGCTGGTTTTTTATCGACTTACTTAACTTGGGGAATATGGAAAATATGGGACTGTTGTTTTTTCAGTGACTTACTTCATTTGAATATAGGTTACATAAGAGAATATGGGACGGCTGTTTTTTTCATTGACTTACTTAATTTGAATAGCATAAGAGAATATTGGACTGGTTTTTTTTTTAATAGACTTACTTGGTGAATATGGAAAATATGGGATATTTTTTTTTACTGACTTACTTCATTTGAATAAGTTACATAAGAGAATTTGTGACTGTTGTTTTTTCAGTGACTTACTTCATTTGGATAACGTAAGAGAATATGGGACTGTTGTTTTCCTTGTGACTGTGGCCCCAGCTGACGGTGGTGCTCCGTGACTCCAAGTCAGTGATCACAGGACGCCCGGGAATGGTGGGAACATCTGAAACATTAATGTGAGTTTGGGCCCATTAGTGGATTTCCTAGTTGACACTACATATAACGACGGTGAGAACTGGGACTCCTCCACGAGTTCTAGGTGTCATTTACAGTCGACAACCTACACAGACATGTGTGGCGTGTATATTAAATGGTAAAGGTACAAATGTTACATAATCGGTGTGCTGACTGAAATGTAACTGTATTCCCGAGGCTCTGAAAATATAACATATAACGTCACCCAAACGAATTGACCTTTAAACATACACAAAGAAATCATATCTATGAACATCTTAGGTATACCTATGTATTGGTCTCAAAAATTTCACAGATGTGCACACCTTATCATGCAAGAAAGCTCTTAATAATGTAGTTCAGGTGAAATGTCCCTTTGAAAGCTTCCCTATATACTGGTAATAAAGTCATTGACACCTACACATGCACTATAATATCAAATGTTCTATGTTATTGTATATTAGTAATATACTGAGAACATAAACTTCTACCTGCTGTACTGTATAAGAACCTGTTAATATAGAGTCCCATCACTTCTCTTCTGAATACAAGGCTTAAAAAGTTAATCACTTGTTTAACGTATGTTATTTCCACAATATTCATCAGGGCTAGACAATAACAGTGTAGCCTGATTGCCTGAGACTAGTGAAATCTCCAGCTGGACGAGTGGTTCTTAAAACCGCTAGTCCAATTGAATAGGTAGTCAAAATTTGATACTGCTTATCTTGTTGAATAATATTGGGCAAGTGGAATTGGCACATGGACTAGTAGAAACCAGAAACTACTACCCCAATTGATTAGTGGTATTCAAAATTAATTTCTAGCCCTTCATGCAAAGACAATTATAGGTAGTGGACATTTTCAGGGTCGCAGAACATTTTGAGATGATTTCCAGATATATTTTTGCTGAAAACTATCAACATATCCAGTATCATGACTGGCAATGCAGTGGATAAGCTCCCCGATCAAGAGGTCAAGTATTCAAGTCCACCTCATAGTGGAAAAGGTTTTGAAGAAATGGAAATTTTAAGGAATATATAACTCATTGCTGTAGTAAATACTAAATTCGTAAGCAACTTCAACTAAGAAAAATGTCAAATAAATTGGAACTCTTCTTCATTGGAGATGCAACACAGAGCGCCGGGACTCTCTACCTTTAATTGCAATTTCATTTATTCATCTAAGTGTTTATATCCTGAACATATCAATCAAATCAACTAAATGTAAACATGATGATTTTTAGATGCAACATTACCTAAAGAAATGCAAATAATCATGCAAAAACTCAGAATTCTTCTCCGTAGTGAAATTGAGCAAGGCTATATTTGACCATTTTCTTAAAATTAAGTTGCACTGTATTACATGTATAATATTTAACTATATGACCTTCAGGGTTTTTTTCAGAATCCACCTTAGACACTTTTGTATATGTACAAGTTAACCTACTACCTACCTTGTACAAGAAGTGAGGTAACATTGGTTTCACGGGTTTTCTGTGCAGTCTGTGTTTCGTCGGTAAAGACGATGGCTGTGCAAGTATAGCTATCGCTGTCGCCCAGGACAAGATTTGATACGACCAGGTCGTAAGTGGTCAACACTTCATACTTATTTCCGGCCGCCAGACTTTCATCAAGGTAGGAGAGCTTCATTTCCTCCTCCCCGGGGATCTGGCTCGCCGACAGTAGGAAAACGTTGTCCTTCTTCCATGTGACCAGGGTGTTATTGGGGTCAAACGTTGATGCATTCACTCGGCAAGGGATTGACACATTGCTCCCTACTATCCCATACACTTGCTCCATTAAGGAGAAATCTTGACCAAGAACATCTGGAAAATAAACAAATATTCAGTATTAATTCCTAAAGCTACTGTTGAACTGTACATGTTCTCCTGTGCATGGGGTCAAATTAAAATCATAATTCAATAATAATTCCAATTGCACCTCTCTCAGTCTCTATGGACTTGGCCCACATTGCACTTCCTCCCTAGAGACTAGGTCCCCCACTCCCTATCATGTTTTATCTTATTTTTATGGACTAGGACTCCATGTACCCCTTTAAGCTCTTTAACAACATAGACCCACATTGCTGTCCCTCTGTACAGGAAGACTAGAAGCTACAGTACCTTTCTATAAGAACTAGACTACATTGTACCCTGTGTCTTTACCCTGTCTCAAAAGACAAAGACCCCATTGTACTCTACATGTAGGACCTTTAGTGCCCTCATTCCAAGACCTAGACCCCACTTTACACTGTTGCTAAGGACTAAACCCCTATTGCACTCCCTCTTTAAGACCTAGGACCTATTGTGACCTTTCTCTAAGAACTATCCCAATTGTACCCTGTTGCTAAGGACTAAACCCCTATTGCACTCACTCTTTAAGAACTAGGACCTATTGTGCCCTGTCTCTAAGAACTACCATACACCCCATTGTACACTATATATCTTAGGACAAAGCCTCCATTATACTCCATCTGAAAGAACTAGGACCTATTGTACCCTCTCAATGAGAACTACACCCCATTGTACACTTACACCCCATTGTACACTATACCTTAGGACAAAGCCCCCATTATACTCCCTCTGAAAGAACTAGGACCTAGTGTGCCCTCTCCCTGAGAACTACACCCCATTGTACACTATATGTTAGGACAAAGCCCAAAAGAATGACTAACTACAGGCCACAACTGTATCATTCTCTGTGGTTAGTACAGGTAAACTAACTACAGGCCACAACTGTATCATTCTCTGTGGTTAGTACAGGTAAACTAACTACAGGCCACAACTGTATCATTCTCTGTGGTTAGTACAGGTAAACTAACTACAGGTCAAACCTGTATCATTCTCTGTGGTTAGTACAGGTAAACTAACTACAGGTCAAACCTGTATCATTCTCTGTGGTTAGTACAGGTAAACTAACTACAGGTCACAAATGAATCATTCTCTGTGGTTAGTACAGGTAAACTAACTACAGGCCACAACTGTATCATTCTCTGTGGTTAGTACGTATACAGATAAACTAACTACAGGCCTCAACTGTATCATTCTCTGTGGTTAGTACGTATACAGATAAACTAACTATAGGCCTCAACTTTATCATTCTCTGTGGTTAGTACAGGTAAACTAATTACAGGCCACAACTGTATCATTCTCTGTGGTTAGAATAGGTAAACTAACTACAGGTCACAACTGTATCATTCTCGGTGGTTAGTACAGGGAAGCTAACTACAGGCCACGACTGTATCATTCTCTGTGGTTAGGACAGGTAAACTAACTACAGGCCACGACTGTATCATTCTCTGTGGTTATAATTAGTACAGGTAAAGAGGGAAGAAATTTATATCAATTGAATAACAAAAAATATCAGCATGAATAAAATCATTTTTTTTATAGTAACTGGTTTTTAAAAAACAACTAAGTTAAATGTTCAACATGTACATATACATGTACTTAATGGGAATTCAAACCTGTAAGGGATCTTAGAGAGTAATGACTTAATACATGGAATACCTGTACTTCGTTTATTTATATTGCAGGTTAAGGTTAGGTGGTAGATATATTTTGTAGCTTCAGTATGCCCTGGTTCACTTAAAATAAATCTTATAGTATACATTGTGTATATAGAGATGCATATTCGTTATCAATGTAATCTCATCAGGTACTTTTACGCCAAAACCATGTGCTCCATATGGCTTGCAATGAAATGCATCACTACAGAAGATTAAATCATTTGCTGCTAAAATGCAGTTTTAATGAATAATTAATGTTTGGTCATGACTACAATGCTGAGTCAACGCAAAAAACCATACAAGATTACTGTAATGGCTATTACCGTATTTAATACAAAAACCATACAACATTACTGTAATGGCTATTACCGTATTTAATACAAAAACCATACAACATTACTGTAATGGCTATTACAGTATTTAATACAAAAACCATTCAACATTACCGTATGGCTATTACTGTATTTAATACAAAAAACATACAACATTACTGGATGGCTATTACCGTATTTAATACAAAAACCATACAACATTACTGGAATGGCTATTACCGTATTTAATACAGAAGACATACTCTCTACGTGGGTTTAGAATTAACGTGACATGTTTGTGAGCTTCTGCAATTGACAGGTATGTGATTTTGAGTCGATGCGTTTCTGATGTATCAGGTTTAAGATTTCTAATCATCGTTGAAGCTGCCTTTAAGCTTAAAGCTTGGTATAATACTGCCCCTCCCTTGTAATAATCAGATGTTGACTCTTCAAAGACTTATTTATTAGCTTACACAAGCTGAAGCAAAATCTTTTATATAGCATATTTTTAAAAGTATTGAAATTCATCTGAAGACAAAATACATGTCATTTAACAAGTATTTCTCAAAAATATTGTATGTACAGTCGGTAGTAATATTTGCATTAGCAACTTGTTAAGCTCACCAATCTCTGAGCAACCAGGCACTGGATATTTGTATTACTTAGTACTATCAATCACATTATTTTAACCCTTTCACCCCTATGTAACTTAAGTAGACTCTACCATGCATCGATATGGATGAGTCCATTATGGTCTACAGTGGTGAAAGGGTTAAGAATGCATGTACTTAGGGGTAGAAATTCATACCATATATTCCATAAACTGCACAAGTTCTAAAACTCTCTCCTACTAGCTGTTGTTATATATGAAGTGTTAATGTAAAGGTATATCGCAGCAGCTTTTTAATTAAAAAATATTTTTCGTCGGTTGATAATTACTTTGTATTGATAATAATGTTTCTCAAATATATGATGAATATATCTGCTTCTATGTCTTGTAGAACTTAAACTGCTTCCATCCCATATATCTAATCTCAGATGTCCTACGTGTATACCTGTACACAGATCACCGGCTCACAATTGACACACGAAGGTTGATTACACAGGGTCGGCTATCCCCTTATTTTTGCCCCTTGGCTTGTATAATTCTTAGCTACATTACCATAAGTTGTTCGGTACAATTCAGCCAGGTTACCTTGATTTTTTCCATAAATTTGTGTGTGGGAAACACATTATCGGGGAGATCATGGTATCTGGTCATATAAAATCTGTAATTAAGCCTATCGATTCCTTGGTTTTCTATATACTCGGTTAGCATTAGCATATTTTCCCTACTTTTTGAACAAGAGATTATGTTTTATCATATATTATAAACATTGTACTCTTATTTCAATGAGGTTATAGAGAGAAGATAATGCCTTGTAAAACCAACTTGTTTTGAATTCTTTTAGTAATACCATAGTCATCTTCCATGACAAAGTACTTATGATTATAGTGAATTGATTTCTTATTTATAATTACTTTCCCTGGGTTTTGTTACAAAAAGTGTTTTAAAGTACAAAAAGTTATTTTAAAATCGATTTTTCTTTTCAATCTATGTAACAGGGTAAGTTTTAATTATCTACATTATTCAGACAAAATATTGACCGATTATTCTCATTTTTGTCCTCCATATAGATCACACATAATTGAACCATTAGTGTTTTTGTCACAACCTTCACGATAGCAAATAACTTCTTACATGAATGACAGCGATACTGATGAGTCAAATTAACACAGAAAAAGTCACTTTAGATTGCAAAGATAATTCACATGACTCAAATAATGTGAAGCTCAGTGGATCAATCTTTTTATGAGCTACGTAATGTAACATTTCTGTAAAGTTGCCACAATCCTTTCATGAGTTTTATCCTCTGGCTATGCAAAACAAACCTGAGACATTAATTCCAAAGAAGTACAAGCTATACAAAAATGTTTCTATTGCAATATAAGTGAACGTACATATTTTTTTATCTTCATTGGTTCAAACCATACTTTCTTCCCATTCGATTCTATCACTGCTAACAGCAGTAAACACCGACAACCTCGTTCACACCTGTGCAGCTAGCAGGTAATGGTAATTACTTTATACAGGAAACATTTACGGAACAACCTTTGATGGTATCCACTTTGTACCTGCTAATTTATAGCAGATCACCTTTCTGACACAGCCATAACTTCAACACCTTGTAGGAAATTAGGCAGATTTAGAGACCTCTGCTTTTTTATGTCGGCCCACAAAAAGATCAGCTAAGATATATGACAAATGGTTTTCCGATTGCGATCTGAAGCCTGTGGCAGTTTATCTGGCACGCCTTACAAAACTGCTTTTTGTACTTGTCCACTACCTTTACAATTTGTACAGTGATTGGGGCCAACTTTGACATTCAGGACAATTACTATAGATGTCCTTAAGTCTCCAAAAAGATCCTCACCATTGTCTGTCTTTTTTATCAAAAAGAATATCAACTTTGAAAAAAAATTATACAATGTCAATGTTATAATCCAAAAAATTCATTTCAGAAAATTTTCAAAAAAATCCGTTTTTTTTTCTATATTTTTTTCTTTATAAATTTGTTTATATTTGAGGACATTTACCATACCGGCCATGGTCTATCCACAAGAGACAGGTGTTGAATGAGCTCAAATCTGATCATCTGTGCGTGAGGGTGTATTATTTACTGGGTATTTAACTAAGCCTCCTGTCCCTCCCCTGGCATGTGACATATCTCTCGCAGGCCGATTACCACCGGGAGATTTGAATGAGGCTTAGATTTGGTGTTAAATAGTATTACCTTTAAGAGTAATAACACTCCACTAGCACGAAACAATTCGTAAGATTACATATCATTCATTCATATTAGGATTTAGGTTTATGTAAACAGGTGAAGATCCAATATCTTATTTCAGCTTTGTAAAAATAAATCTTGCAAAGTTATTCAACATGTTACCAGTTCTCTATATTGGA